TTCAGCAGTGATCTGTTACATCCCCCGGCTGCTTGGATAGAAGCAGGATTTTTCACCAGTCATATCTAAGTTTCCAACAAAATCAATCCTGCCCATGCTCTGAAAATGTAGTGGAAGTGTAGTGATTAACTACAATTACTGATTGATGAGGAATTTATTTATTTTTTCCACATCTAGATGCCATGGAGAAATCTAGCACTGCAGGCTAGATACCCTCCAGGTGTTCTGTGTAGTCACGTCCCAGGCTCATATCTCTTTAACTACAGGTTATACATTTATCATTGGGGATTGTGGTTTTCCATGACTAACAAAACCCAACTGGTCGACTCTATCCAAATCTGCAGCTAAGAATATTATTGCTACTTATCCCCTTGTACTTGCATTTTATCTGCTTTTTATTACTCAAAATGCTGACTCCTGCTTTGTTCATTCATGGAAATAGCTGTAAAGTCAACCCAAGGCCAACTAATAACCTGTAATTTTCACTTGATCCTGAACTTGTCATCTCTTTCTGATTTGCCAGTGCTTTCATTCATCTTACAGTTTTAAAATTAATTTCCAGCTACTGTAGTTAATTATTTCCATTGAGAATGGAATCAAACACTTAATTAAATTTCAGATAAACCTGGTGTACCCCATTTATTAGGTTTCTTCTTAGACAGACTAAGTAAACTTCTTCCATGCTATTGTTACCTGTAAGTGATTTGGAGTACTTGGAGGATTTCCTTTCAACCTAGTGAAGAAGTTCTCTCAAAGGAGGTTATGAAATCCCACAGAGATTTTTTTTTTTCTGGATTATCAATTACAGAGCATAGGTAAAGAACACATCTCAACTAACTGCAGTGAATAACTTTTTTTAAATAGACTTTTTTTTTTACTGTATGGTTATACTTTCTTTTTTTAACTTGTTTAGAACTTTTTTTCCTTTACATCTAGGGATTAAATTTGATTTATGAAATCATGCTAAAGTTTCATAAGTCTCCCCCCTTTCGGTTATATTATTGTGAAAAACACTTGAATATCATTTGCAGTTCTAGATTTTTTTTTTTTAATAAGCAACATGCAAAAATTTACCATATCCACTGGTGAAATCTCTCAGTAAAAATGCCAGCAGGCTTTTGAAGGCATGGAGTTTAATCATCCAAGACAGCTATTTTTTCATTCAATTCCTTCCCGTAGGCTTCTAAATTACTTTCTGAAATGGCCTTTTGCTTATTATGCATTAGTAACTGTAACAAATACAGCAATGAATGTTACCTAACAGTGTAGCTAGGGAGATCACAATTCATTGGAGATACATCTAAATACCCCTGGTTATATTTTTACCTTATGTAACATATTCACAAATGTTTTCCTCCTTGTTATTTGATCCCTGATTTAGGAACTTTAAAGTTCCCAATATATAAGCAACTTTAATCTTTGTATTTCAGGATGTTTTTAAATGTTAAGGAAACAAGACTGAGCCTTTTCAGCCCTGAAAATGTTTCCATTTCTCCTTTGATATCCTGATTTTCTTGACTGAATGCCTGAGAACATAATTGTACACATACTCTTGTTTCTGGATGCTGATGACCTTCAACAGCTGTCAAAACTGTGCAAGAACTTCCAGCAGGTAATGTCATATATTGGTGCCATATTCAAGTTTATTGTTAAGAAACAAGGTGAGATGGAACTTCTCTTCAGTTTCATCCAGCAGAAACATCTGTGTTTCTACACAGCCAGGTATAGGGAGCAGCACAACACACACATACCTGAGCACAGATCAGTAGTAACAGGCCAAGGCCTCCACGTTTGGAGGACAGTCTGAAGCCAAACGCTCTGTCTGGCCAGCTGGAGCCTACCAGAATTACTTTTCAATCTGTTCACTAGTGTTTGCAACTGAGATCCTGACAGAAAAAAAAAAAACTAGAACACCAATACCAGTAAAGACCCAGCCCTTGCCCACCCCCTTTCGACTTCTATGCAGAATCTTCATATTTGATTCTAGACTATATCAACATTTTTAAGAGAAGGGGAAAAATAATTGCCTATTTCTGCATGTTTCGTATCTTCTGCCTTCTGCATATGCTGGGAGCCATTTATGGATCTTGCATGGACCATGAGTCTATGTGCCATTTTTGCTAATCTTTACCCTTTTGGAGTGTGTTGGACAATTTTTTTTTTTTAATAATCCAGGCTTAATTGGAATTGAGCAAAGAGCACTGGAGTACATCTTGTGTGTTTGTGTCAATTTGAATCAACATACTGTAATATTTATGTGATAGTAATGAGCCTCTGATAGTATTTACATTTCTGTAGATGGGATATGAAAATGGCGCATATTCAGGAGATCAGGTGTGGCCTAATGAAGTGTAAATCACAAAATATATCTGGAAAATATTTAATTTTTAGTTATGGAACAATGAAGACATTTGGGAGAGAGTTTAACTGCTAAGAGGGAAACCAGCACTTAGTAAGATGACATTTTCAGTCTTCAAGAACTTCAATGAAGTTCTTCTTAACAGTTGGAGAAAGGACCCTCTTAACAAGTGGAGACACAAAAGACAGAGTGAATGCATCTAAGTCACTTAGAAATTATCAGGTAAGATCCTGGATTCCCATTTGTTTCAGATATTTTTTCTTTCTAATGAAACAGTTATAAATAAGTATCTTGAGAATTTTACTTCTCTCCTCTCATCATGTAATACTCAAACAGCATCACCAACTCACAAGTAATTTTCCCCAGATTTTCAACATTCCATCAAGTTTGGGGTTTCTTTTTTAGGCATATTTTATTCTGATGTTCAGTATTATTTTGTGCCCAGTGAGTGGGTTTTGTCATGTTCGTATTTCAGGCTTTTGTTTGGGCTGTTCAGGACTAAGACTGCAAATAAATGCCAGCAGAGAAACTGCCTTCAGCATGAAGAGTAGTGTTGGCTTAACCATGGATGGGCCTCCAAAGACTCTCAAAAACAACTTTCAGCCATTTGGTTTTAAATCAAAAGAAGCAACAGAATGTATTTATAAACTGAATGTGAAGTTGTCAGTACAATGTTTGGAGTTGAATAAGCTTCTCTTTAGCAACAAGCACAAATGCAGGGATTTTTACAGAATATTTACATTCCACATCAGTTTCCAGTAACACAATAGATCACGATAGAATGGAGCCCAATCTCCATTTGACAGACAGAGTGATTTCCATCTTCCTAAATGTCAATGACCTTGGAATTCAATAAGAAACAGGGCAACAGAAATTTGGTGAAGCTCTATATATGTAGAACATTATATTTGAAAAGCAAGAAAACAGATGGCACTGAAGTCAGCTGTGATGCAACCAGACACAATTCCCATTCTGTGGGGATGCTGTCTCTACTTTCAGCTAAGCTGAATTTGCAAAACAAAGTTACTATTGTGGCAATGAAGCTCTCACGCCACGATGAGTTTGCACAAAGGCAGGCAGCAAGCCTGCATTTATTTGATGTCATCGGGAGAAGCATAAAAGACAAGTGAGCACAAAGCAGGTGGCAGCTCCTCCACAAGGGAAGCAAGCTCAGGGCCTGCTGCATTCCTGTGCAGGAGACATTGGAGCAGGGACTTGGAAATGTATTTGCTGCTTTAGCCATTGTATTTTGCAGCATTCCCATGAGGTACATGCTTGATTCCAGTGGGCAGTCTTCCCTGCAGATATGGCTGCACAAGTTCCCATCCCAAACCTGATTCCTGTTTCCACAGGCACAGGCTGTCCTGCTGGCACTGCCCAAGTTGACCATGAGCGCAGAGAGGGGAAGCTCAGTGGTGATGTTTTCTCTGTTTTAGGAGGGGTCACACTGTAGCAGAGAACCTGCAGACACTACTCCCATGCACCCTGGGCTCCCGGTGTTCCTGGGGCTGCCTTGCTGTTCCTGTCTCTCCTGAGCTACTTGCGGCAGGTGTAGTTGGCCATAGCAATGCTCAGATCCTGCTGATGGTGGCAGCAGATCCTGCTGATACTGCCCCTCTCAGATGTGGCAAGAGAAGATGCCAATACCTGCTGTGTAAGAGAGGTTGCCCCAAGGGTTCCAAGAGTGGCACTGCCAAGCCATCAGGCAGCTTGGGATGCAGCTCAGGATGCAGCTGCATGCAGATGTTGACTACGGCACTCTCCACATGCAAATTTGGATGTCCTGAATATTCCTTCTATGTGAATATCTAAGTCAAAGGGTAGATTCTGTCTCTGCCTCTTTGGGCAGGAGCCTGCATTCACAAGAACACAACAATTTGTCAAAAGGCTGCAGGAATTTCTTGACCTGATCTCCAGCTTGATCTGATGGACACAAGTGTTTAGCACTAACAGTTTTTACTGAGATGAGGTTTAAATAACAAGACCCAAATGGAAAAAATACTGCAAAATACTGCAAAATTCCTGTGTTTTGTTAGTTCTCTGTGACACTGTCAAGAGGCGCTCATAACCAAGGAACTCAGGTGCAAGTGGAGAAGAAGCCTTAAAAGCCAAAAGATATCAAACTCAACTTGTGAGCATGTGCAAAATCTCAGCTCCCGTGTCCTGCTGGTCCCTCTCACAGGTGAAACACACCCCCTGTTCCAGTCACCCACAGAGCATCCAGAAAGGTGGGAAATGCTTTTGAGCAGACCCTCATCTGGTGAAGATCCCAGCTCTGCCCAGCTCTGCTGCATAAGGACGAGTTTCCCTGGATCAAGCCAGGATTTTTCACTGAGGGGAAAGGCTGCCCTCCCAGTGCTCAGACAGGACACCACGACAAAATCCTTTCTACTGCAGTAAAGATAAATTTGGCAAATGAGATAAACTTTAGATTGAGCTAAACTCAGATGATTCTCCAGTAGCAGTTTTACTTAATCTTGAAGTAATTTTAGTTGGCAGCTGACTTATGCAGCCTGATACTAAAATTCTTCTCAACTGTGTTTTTATCTGCTTCTGAAGCATGCAAAGCAGTATAATAGCATCTTACTTGTTTTTTTCTGGAGTAATAGATGAAAAAATAGCACAGCATCACATCTCAAAATCATAGTCAAAATCTTTTTTGCTTTTATTTTATTTAATGCTTAATATCTGGTAAAATACAATAAATCGTTTTCAGTCTAGGACAATTAGATGTTATGCTTAATAATAAAATGTTCAGAGAGGATGTAAAAATAATATCTTACTATTTAACTTCAACAACAAAGCAGGTCTCGGTTTTAGATAACTGAGAAATTTTCAGCCATGAAAGATAAATGAACATATCCTGCCCTTTCATAAACACACATCTATCATTGAAACCAACAGAAGACACACAAACACCCACACACCCCACACACATGTATATGTGCCTGCCTTAGAGGACAGAATTTGGCCTGGATCTTACAAAATGGTAGTTTGCAAGTGACATTCAAGTGTGTTTAATTTTTTAACAAACAAAACTGAAGAATGCTCATGTATTTTACATTTTCTAAATCCTGTTACTGCAACTTACATGAAACATTAGCATATAAAAAGTCACCACTGTTCTACCACATTTTTGTCCAAAAGTCAGTGTCAGAACGATAAAAAACAGCTAATTAATTAAAACCAGATTTATTGTTAATGTGCTGATGTTTGCATTAGCTGTCTTCTGTTTTAAGCACAAGGAATATATTAAAACTTAAAAGGCAAAAGTGGCTCAGAAAATGACAAATTCTCCAACAACATACTTGTAGCTTTACTAACACTTATCTGACACTACAGTTAATTGAAAACCAAGGTAAACACCAGGAGGTACAGATACCACTGGACATTCCTCACAACTGTGCAAACTGTGGGCCTCAACCTGCAAACACCACTGGCTCCAGAGCTTTGTCCTGGGGCTGGTCCCACTGAATGGTCTGCAACACCCTGCAGCAGCCCCACCCCTGCCATTTGCAGGAAGGGGCCCTGCGGACCCTCATGCATGACCCTCATGTCATGCACCAAATACATGTAAAATGCTTCAGATTTCAAACTGATGCAAATTTACATTTAATTTCTTTAGACTCAAGAAGCTGACCTCGCTTCTCTAAAGTCTTATATAAATATTCCCTTAAAACTGTTAGAGGATCTTCTATTTCAAGATAATCTAATAAAATATTTGAACTGCTTTTAAATTAGGCAAAGAGTGCTTGAGCTTTTTGTAAAAAAGCAACAATATTCCTTTGCTGTATGGTATTTTACATATCTCCAGTCACTCTTCTCTTTATTTTACAGAAAGTAAGAGGCAGAGCTATTATTATTTTGTTGATGCAATTGCCTGTGGAATTCTGCCAATGGATTTTTGTGATGACGTTGAATCTTAAAATCATTCCTTTTCACAAGACTTTCCCCCCAGACTGTTTTATTCTGCTTCTTCAGTCTTTTCAGAACTAGCTCCAGCTGAAGTATCTGCCTCATATTTTTTATCAAGAGCATCTTCAAAGGATTTCCCACTGCAGTCATAGGTTTTACTTGTAGGTCCCATATGTGTTCGGATGCGAGCTCCTGGCTGGTACAACTGCATGGCTGGACGATCCTGGAGGGAAGGAGGTAACAGTTAATGCTCTGAGAAACCCATGTAGGACACGTATGTGGAATTTTAAAGTTTTGAATCTTTATGAAGAAACATTTTGTGTTAAATTACTTTACATTTCATAAGAACCAGGAAAAAATGGTATGTAATGAAAACTGACTGGGTACTGAGTATCTAGTATTCAATATGAGTTGTTTATAACACTATTCTTGGGAGCCAAACATTTTGAATAAATGAAAATTGCTGTCAAAATTAAAGATCCTATGATACAATTGACATAAACAAGAAGAAATATTGCAGACAATTATCAAACATGTTATTTACAAGTAAAACTAAAGAAATGTTGCTACCTTCACTAACATTAGCTGAGAAGAACAATAACCTATGCACTTGCAACTTTGCAGATGAATGTCAAATATTACATATAAGTAAAAAAATCCAAGGCAGACCAGAGAATAGCTCACTAGGGAGCAGCTAGAAAATTATCCTCAACTGATCCAAATCCTTACCAGAATTTAAACATGTAATGCACATTTGAATTATACACATCAGAATAAAGTTGCAGTTTTTACTTCACTTCATGTTGCCTTCCATACTGAGTATGAGAACAAGGGAATTTATGCACTTATAATAAACAAAGTAAGTACAATCTGAGCATGTGCAGGCTCTATGAATCACCCAATCATACACATGCTGCTCTGATCCTGAGAAAATGGAAGGAGCCAGTTTACATGGAAAAGACACCTCAAACCTGAAAATGGTGATGCTCTTCAGAGCACTTTTATTTTTGAAATTTCATTAGTAAAACACACCAGTTGGAAACTCTGCTTAAGAAGTATTTTCCTGGTAAGGGTATTTTACTTTCACATAATGTTATGAAGCAACTGAAAGCTCACCAATACCTTAGCTGTTTGATCAGTCTTGTGTTAAGTTTAGCAAACAGCCAGAAGCCTCCTTAAAGACAGTGGCAGAGCACTGAACTTGTCCTACATCAAACTATACCAATTTTCAATTGCCTTCATAATGAAGTAAGCAATATAACAAGTAATAGTAAATATCTTTGAAGTAATTCTGGATTTTTGTTCTTTCATTCTTTTTTCTTATTCTCAATATGTATTTCCCCTTTTATTTTTCCTTCATCTATTTTGACCCACTTATCTTTTTTCACCCATTTTTTTCTCCTTCTCTTTAACCAGATGTCAAGATTCACTACTGAGCCTTATGACTAGATCATTCTAGTTAGTGCTTTGCAGTGTGGTATGAAATGCATAGCACACCTTTCTGTATCCCAAACAGCTTCAAGCAGTGCCCTTTAGAAAGTTTAAGATAAAGGGTCCAAATGACTTTTCTTAGCACAGCCTCTGTAGCCTGTGGTTTGTATAAAAGCTATCACGTTACACACACAGGAAATTTCCCATTTTCTGAAATCTGAATAATTAATTCCTCCAAACTTCAGAAAGAGGTTCCATCTCTGACTAAAAATTTGTCTTGGCATTGTAAATGCTATACCTAAGTTGTAAAACTAGCCCCTAATCACCTATGTGATAAACACTCTAAGGAAAAAAGTCTCCATAATGCAAAATACCTTACTGATGGTGCTTACTTTTTCAGGCAACAAATCTAATATTTTAGTCATAAGTGTGGACTAATCCAGGGACTCAGCAAGCTACCAGAAGTGTGATGCAAAGAAATAGAAAGCAGGAAGCTTCTTGACACTGGCCAAAAGGCCCCCAAGATCCACCATCCAATTCCAAGGTTGGAGATTATTTTGACAGATTTCAAGACAAGCATGGCAAGAATGAGAAAAAATATTTTTCCCATCTTCCTGTTTCTGAACTAGCCATTTTTCTGACTATTCTACAGAAAAATGTAGAGCCACTCATGAGGCAAGTGGCTAATGTGTAAATGCAGATAAATCTTAGCCATCCTGCCCAGCTGACCTCTGCATAACAAAACCCCGGGGCACACCAGGCTTTCTGTGTTGGCAGAAGATGACTTCCTGGACATGCACAGTGAGTCCATCTGAACTTGTTCCCTGCACACTCCATGCAGGCTCACTCTACATGTGACCAGTTTACTCTTGTCAGCCTTAGCTCACAGTACAGATCAGTCACTTGCTTTGAAAGAAGAGATTAACATGCAGAATGAATTTCTACGCTAACAGTGTTTTGATAATCTTTTGTGGAAAGTCTAGCATCATGAGAGAGAAAGAGAGAGAGAGAGAGAGAAAGGGGCTGACAAGGAGAGCCACGTCTTGAAAAGACTCTGGCACACCTGTGAAATCAGCCAGCCGAGAAAAACAAGAAAAACAATACCCATATCTCTGGGAGACAATAAGGGACAGCTCTACTACATACCCTGATGCAGGCCCTGCTCACACTGGTTTTGTATTTGCTCTTTCCCTAACAATAGCTATGAGAATAAATTTATCCTGATGAAGTGACAGCCTTTTCATACTGTCAGGTAAGCAATACTGAAGAATCCATACATTCACGCTCTCTGAATTAGCTATTTATTTAAGTTCCTATTGCTCTCCCAAGCAATGCCTGGCAAATCCATAATATAATTATTTTATGAGAGTAATGGAAGCACATTTTGAAAGACTAACATGCCACAGTTTTTAAATTTCATTACTGATCAAAAGTGTAACTATGTTTAATACACTTATAAAATGTAAGGCTTCCAAGAATAGTATTCTTAAAATGACAGGGTTGAAATGAAGACAGAAAGTCTTCTATATATTGTGAATATGAATGAGCCTATAACCTTAACTTATTTTAACTGCCGTTGTCCTTTGACAACAACCCAGAAAGAAATCTGGGTTTTACTGAAAATGAGATAAAGAATTCTTTTGAAAAAGCATCTTTATGCTGAATTTGCAGAAGTTAAAACCTGTGATCTTGAACCATATTAACTAATGAAAGATTATCCTAAGTGAATAAAAGAACCTTATTTCTTATGCGCTCCTTTTTGGATGCCATGTCATCACACTTGTCCTCTTTACCCAGTTTGTCTACTGCCTCCACAGTGAAGTTGTAGTTGTAGTTCCCTTTCTTTCCTCTGTCTTGGTTGTATCCTTTCCCCCATTTCAGCTCTTCTTCATTCCTTCTCATAAACTTGTCAAACTCATAGTGAGTTCTATGCTTTCTGCCATCATCCAATCGATACCTTTGTCTTTCAGGTTCTTTTTCTCGAAATCTTCGCTCCAAATCTCTTTGCTCTTTGTCACTATCATTTTGTGACCTATGAGTATGCATGAAAAGAAAGAAAATCCAAGCAATTAACAGAAAAAAAGGGCTACAGAAAGATACAAGTCAAAGCCTTCCTTTGAGTTCAGAAGTGTGTAGATAAGTTATACAGCAAGGTTGTTTTCTTCTCATTACAAAGGGTTAAATGCTGAATGCCTCACCTGTGTATATCTACCTATGCATTTGGTTCAGAATAGCAGACAAAGCTTTACCAAGCTTTTGTGCAACTGTTGTGGAAGGCCCATTCTCCATCTTCTATCCCTCTCTGAAATCCTATCAATAGTTCCCCAGTATCTTTCATATAAACACATGCTGCACTACTAGCTCTTGTAGCTTTGTGTTGAGGTGAGTCATGCATGGAAGTATTCCCTTGAACAGGAACATTCAGGCTGTGAAGGAATTGTGCAGGTATCAATTTGTAAATTTTATGTCTCTGTATAACAAAAGTTATTTCCTGACATCATAACTTGCAGAAGACATTTGTGAAAATAAATACGTATGTTCCAGGCTTTTGTTTATTGTGTTTCCAAGTACTCTAGCCTGCCTTTGCATATTTTATTTCAGCAAAGACCATTACCTTACCACAACACGATACTTAATTTCTGCTATGTTGTAAATGGTTTATATTATAAAGACTACTGGCAATAATCTGTCTGACAAAATTCTCAGCTCTTATTCACTTCATTGTTCCAGTTCTGCAAATGGGTGTTTGTCTCATATGGCAAGACTGCAAATAATGAAGAAAGATTACAAAATAGATTTAACTTCAAAAGGAACAAATACAGGCAGTTTATTTTCATTACATATGTATAAATATTTAAAATTGAAACAGCAAGTTACTTTTGGTAGTCTTCTCATACTTTGGGAAAATGCAGACAAAATCAGAGAGGATGGAGATTTTTCAATGGTATGGTGATCAAATAGCTATATGCTTCTCATTCAGAATTATCTAATACAAATTAAACTGTATCTATATATACAACTTTTCTTTTTCATATAACAGAAATGTGAAATTGGTAGCATCTGTCATGAACTTGGGCATTAGTGGGACTGCCAAAAGAGAGTCCCCGTCTCAGGAAGAGCTGAAAGTCAGAGCAGAACCTGAATGAGAAGTTAAGTTATTCAGCATTTTACAAGACTGAGCTCGTATCAGCATAACACATTCCCATGTGGAAGCAATGTCCCAGCTCTCACAGACACCTGAACCAACCAATACAGACCCTGTGCCTATAGCATGGATACATTTACACAAAATACTATGTTAGCTAAGGGTATGTGGCTCTAAGTTGCTTTGTTTCATGTTTAATATGCTATTCCAGAACCTAACTCCAAGTCCTAGCAAGGCTTAGGGCAAGATCTTCCACAAAAAGCCAAAAAGAATCTCTCAATTTGCTGCTGCAGTATTGCCTGATACTTGTCTCTTCCCTTGTCTGTTACTGTCAGGGAGGAAGTGCTGTGTCTGAAGGCAGGCAGATGACAGGGATACAAACTCCTGTTCCAAGAGTGGTTAAAGTGGATTCCTAAAATTCAGTCACAGTGAACAGGCAGGCAAGAGTGGAAATGGCAGGGTAAGCAATTTCAGAGTATAGGTAGAAGACAAAGTTACACTGTCAGAGAAAGCAGAAATGAACAGAAGTAAAGGGAATTGAAACACTTCTGTTTGGTGAAGTTTCAAATCCATATTTGACCATGTAACTTATGCACCTACTAAGATTTTGATTTGTGGTAGGAAGCTATTGCTACCAAGACTTTGACATGGTGTCAAACAGGCAATACAGTCTCCTGCAGGTAGAGTTGGCAGTTACAGCTTATTACCAATTTCTGAGTCAGTGACAAAGTAGTTTCAACTTTAAACCTCCATCCAGCTGAAACAGCTCATAGCTTGCTACCTACCCACTAAAAATCAAGATGATATCAGCACTTGGAAACACAAGGTAACGCTTACTGTACCTGTGCAGCCAAACAGATTCTGTTTTACATGAGCAAAATTTACATTAATGTCTTATTAAACTTACTGTATCAATAACAAACAATGTTACATGGCACCACCAAAAGTTTAATCCATAAAAAGCCAGGGAAGTAGTGGGGGCAGCATCCCTGGAGGTATTTAAAACACATGTAGACATGGCACTTAAGGACACAGTTTATAATGGCAGTTTGGCAGGGCTGGGTTAACAGTTGGACTCAATGATCTTAAAGGTCCATTCCAACCTGAAAGATTCTGAGTAGCAAACAATTGATTTGTCCCTGCAAGTGCTTCTGTTGAGCCCGTTCTGTTTCCTTTCATGAAGACCATCAAAAAAGAAGTTGCTGAATATTTTCAATTTCAACAGGACATGAAAGTTTCCAGGAACATTCAGAACATACATATTTTTCTTCTTATTTATCTTACATATCTTACGGGCAGATCCTGTTTGCGATGGGACTCATGTGCCAAAGGACAAGAAAGAACCAACTGCTGAAAACACTTGTAAGATTAATCATTTCCAGGCTACAGCGTATCTATCATAAGGCTTTCATTCACACATTCAATATTTTGCCATTGTCCCACTTACCTAAACATTTATGTTTATTGCAGCCAACACACATGTGAAGGAAAAGTATAGCATTGTGGACAATTTAGTCTTCAATATGAGTAATAGAAAGAGAGCCTTACCTGAGCTCTTGATGGGGAACAGGCGAAATAACAACAACATTACTTGAATTTTCATGCAGAAATCCTTCCATTCAGGGATTTCATAGCATTTCATCAATGACAAATTGCATCCACTAATACTGCCACCAGGTCAGTAAATTCTTACAAAACATCTTTTACCAAAACAACAGAAGAAATTTGTTCACACACAGAATGAAATTGGTTCTTTGGTGACAGAACATCTTGTCAATGCACCACTTATATTTAAGCCTTATGATGAAAGATTTTAAGATCTAAATTAAGGACTAGAAGATAAATATTACTTACTTTTCCTTAAGTTCCTTTAGGGAACTCTCCAAAGATTTGGATTTTATACTCCCAGATCCAGGTGATTTATCCCATTTGTTTTCCTCAATGTCAGCTTCTTCACCTTTTTCTTTGTGCTTTTCACTGGCCAGTTCATCTCCTTTTTCAGGCTTCTTGAGAAGCTAAGAGATATTTGTTTATATTATGATGCAAAATTATTCTCCTCTATTGTACAGACATTTTAGTAAATACTAAATGTATCAGTAACCTGCTACAATTGGAGATACCTTATTTACATGCTAGGAATATATTTTACAAAGTAAGAAATTTGAAGTTATTTTAAAAGGTGGTTTTCATTTCCTAAGGAGTGACAGTCATTAATAGGCATTCAACTGCACACTTTCAAATATGTGGAGAATACTGGAGGAAGCACTTACCCATTCTTCTCAAAGCACTTACCTTCTCTTCTCTCCTGAGTTATAAATATAAAGACATTATTACGGTCTATGGTTTCTTAGAAATCATGTAACAGAGCTCAGTGTCATTGCCCATAAAATAAGGAGGAGAACCTCTACAATACTACAAAGAGAGCAGGATTAATACTTCACTCCTTGAAATATTATATACAAAATGTGTGTCACATGAATTGGGATAGAAAGGCATGTAGAAGTAGGCACTTAGTACATCCTGTCACAAACATGAGGAAAAACTTGTGGTATTAGCAGAAGAGAAGTCATTACATTTTCACCTTGAAGATTAGGATTTTGAAGAAGTCTGTTTCTTTCACAGCAACCCATACAGGGTTTCAGCAGAGTACAGAATTACAGGCATAATCTTTATAGAAGGACCAACTGTCTCAAATTATTACCCTACCACATCAATTCTAGGCAGAACATCTCTGTCTTTCCATTCCACCATTTTGTTTCTGAAATGAGCCCAGGTTAATCTTCTCCCATATTTGAAACTTCTATAATGTTTCTCTCAGGTAATATTTTCCTTTTCTTTCAGAGACAGAAATAGCTTTCAGAGTCATATCACCACAGATATGTTGTGAATACTGGGGCTTTTTGGACAAGTATTTTTGGACAAGTATTTTGGACAAGTATTTTCTTATGAACTTCTAGAGCATTTTTTTTATACTCAGATATGACAAACATATAATTCAGCTTCAGAATTTACTATTCTTATACTTTTAGGTGAAGAAAATTGTTTTCCAAGAAGAAACAAGGAAATATGTTCACAGTTCTGTGGCTTCTCACCACCACTAAATTTGAGTCAAGTCTGTGTGTTCTTGCTTTATGCTACAGATTCTTCTATCAAATTTCCTCCTCAAAACATCCTATAAAGCCTTTCCAATAATAAAAAATTTGGTTCAGATGAACAGTTTTATTTGTGTCATCTTACAGAAATAAATCTTACCGTTGTATCTATGTCATCTTACAGAAATAAGATGGTTTTATATGGCCTGACCTCATAGCACAAAATACACCTTCTTAAGTGATGTCATTAAAATCTGTTCAGATTGCTGAAAGGCAGTGCAACTTGAAATTAGCATATCAGTTCTGAGCATAAACATATATATGTCTCTGCATACATGGCCAAATGAAGATTTGCATGACAGAAAGTGTTAAAGCTATCTTTCACAGAAACACAGAATATTCTGAGTTAGAAGAAACTAACAAAGACCATCAAGTCCTTAAGTGAATGGCCCATATGGGGATCAAACCCACAATAATCTTCCAACATGATGGTACAGAACAATTCAGTTCTGTCAGGTAATGCTGGCATAGAATGCAGAAGAGTTGTATGAAGATATCTGAGTTACCTGCTCTAACTGCACCAGCACACCATGGTAGGTAAGGCCATCAGTCACACTTTTAAACAACATTTTGTCAAAGCCCTACATTACTTCCTCTTCCAGCCAAAACTGGTTTGGTGTCAACACACTGAGCTGTAGATAGCCTAAATAAACATTGTAGGTATCTGTAGGTAGCCTAAATAAACCAGAGAACTTCTGAATAATTTCAAAATAATAAATTTTTTTCATTGATCTTAGTTACCTTAATCCTTATTTCTTTTTCAGAAATCTTCTTTTGCTTCTCCACTTCTTTTCTTTTACGTCTTTCCTCTTCTCTGCGCTTCCTTTTCTCTTCCTCCCGCAAACGTTTCTTCTCCAATTCTCTCCGCCTTCGTTCTTCTCTTTTCTCTTCTCGTATTCTCTGAAGAGTTCAATAATGATTAATTGTAAATTGTCCAACAGAAAACAATATGAAACATAAATGTAGAACTTCAGGCAAAAGTCTGAACGTACCTGCTTTTCTAATTTTCTATTTTTAATATATTCCAAAAGGGGTGTTGTTCTTCTAGCTAAAACACAAAAAATTTGTGATATAGTGTTCAACTCCTAAAATGTACTCATTTCTTTGCTCTAGTATTAACCCCCTTTTTCTAGCTTTATCTGAAAGGGAGCTAAGTCATTGATAAACCTATTTGTTTCATGTACTTTTGAAGGCATTCCCATAATTTAGAAACACTTCATTGTTTTTTTGCTGTTAGTGTTAGAAGCAACAGAAATATGTTGCACAATTACTTGATATTTAATTAAAGATCATATCCTTTTAGTTCAAGAGAATGGCTTTTTTCTCTTGCTTATTGAATGGTTATTTCACCAAAAAAAGAAAGAAATGTGTTCAGAATCTATTCCTACTTTTTACTATTGTATATCAAAACCTAGCTATATTGCTATTCATATACAGCCCACATTACTGCAATCTCATATAGCACTTTTCAACCCTGGTTTTCAAAGTACATCATGAAGGAAACATTTTCAGTCTCATATAAACCTGACATTTAGTATTCACCTTTCCACAGGAAAACAGGAGGAATAACAGATAAGCAGTTTGTCCCAGGTTACACAGCAAAGTATTAGCAGATCAAATAAAACTCTGGCTTCCAAAATTGCTAATAAAAGGTCTCATGTACTGATTCACACAGCCATTCTTTTATTACAGAGCTGTCTCCATGCTCTGAAATCAAGTCACCTGCCTGAACTGTCCTCAAATTCTATAAAAACTATAAAAACTTGGAGAACATAATCAAATTCTTTATCACGTTCCTTATCAAATTCTTTATTCATGACTGTCAGTACTGAATTCAGACTTCAATTCAGCCTGTACTTACAGCTCTAAGTAGTTACAACAAATTTTGTCAATTTTAGATATGCCAGAATAGAAAATGTTTACTACTTGAAATTGCTCCACAGTTTTGTATTGTATTCTCCCTCAAACCATAGAAAAACATCCCCTATTGAAATGCATGATAAAATTTGAAAGAAAAGAAAGAAAAAAAATAATTAGAAAAGTCTTCAACAAATTTAAAATTACATGGCCAAAATCTAGACACAATTCATATCCCAAAAACATTTAAATGTTTTTGCATTGAAAGCTGGATTATGCTGGGGCCAAGCCATTCATTAGCAACAAAATTTTGTTACACAGTTATGAATGGGAAGGCTGATAGGATTTACTGTTTCTTTTTGGCAAATATCAATGGTAGGCATCAACAACCAATAAAGATTGTTGATTTGATATTTTCCTCCTTCTATTCCTAGATTTTCCATGCCTCTCCATCCTTCCCACCTGCCCATCATTTTTGACAAGTTTTAGGTCCCCAAAGCCCCCTTCCAGCCCCTCAGATCTGAGTTAAGCCTCTTTCTCCTCCTCCCTAAATTCCTAAATTCCAGAGGCAGTGGCTGCCTCTGGGCAGGCACCTTTACATGCTGAAAGAGATCACAAATTCTAATTGGAAGGTCTGGGGAAGGATAAGCTGCACTGAGAGTTCAGAACTTGACCCTAGTCATGACTTAAGACTGTAGTGCAAGAGGTTTAATGAGAAATTATAATTTGAAGTTCAAGGGAGAGAAGCAGTGTGATGAGTACTACCAAAAGAGGAAGGGGAAAAAACAAGTTTATCAAACTTGAATCTTACCCATCTTATTTATGGGCCTTACGGCAAATACAAACCTAAGAGCATTTTCTTAAAATGTTTAAGAACTTTTAAATGAAAATTAATTACTAAATGAAGAGCTGTGTCTGTAAAACTTTACATTTTATCTTGCTGCCTACAAACAAACAAGAAATAAGATCTTATCTTCATCTTGCTACAGAGAAAATCTCTTTCATACCTCTCTGTCACATGGAAACTGATCAACCATGATCATGCAAATGCATGATGCATAAAACATTTTGGTTTGCAGTAACTTTATATGGAGAAATTCTGAGCATGTGAGGCTCAATTCTGCCAGCAAAGTCTTGGGCACATCCTTCGTTGACATCAGTAGGAGTAACACCTTTGAAACTGGACACATAGCTAAACCCTTACATAATTTTGCTATAAGGTTGCTAACTGCTGAAGAAATTTTTGGTTTTGTGTTGATATCAATGGCCAGAGCTTTGAATGGCAGGAAAAATAAAGCAACTTGTTTCATTTCCTCTGATGTAACAGAAATGAAACATTAGAAGTCTTAATGTAAAGCTGCCTTCAGTTAATGTTGTTACTCAGAAACCTGCAACTCACAAGATTAATCATCTTCACTGATAGAATATTTTAAAGTTACTAGATCTTCTTGAAACTGTAAACTTTTTGCAAATTGCAAACTTATTAAAACATTTTACTGCCTTTACTCTGCTGTCAACCAGAGAACCATGGAAGATTAGGTGTAAATAAAAATTATCTAAATTATCTAAAACAGCAACAAACGAGTTTTATTCATAACAGAGTTATCTAAATGTCCATTTCCAGTTCCTCTAAATTATTAGAGCTCCAAATCTCTCTAGTCAACTCTCAAAAGCAGTAACAAGTTGACAGGAAAGGGGAAATGGCCTCAAGATGTAACTGAGCAGGTTTATACGGGATAGTAAGATGAATTTCTTCACAAAAGAAAAGCACTGAAACAGGCTGCCCAGGGAAATGGAGATGCTGTTCCTAGAGGTATTTAAAAGATGTGCAGTTCTGGCATTGGGAGCATGGTTTAGTGGTGGACTTGGCACTGTTGAGTTAATGGTTGTACTTGATGTTCTTGAACAGCAAGTTTCCAACCTAAATGATTCTATGATTCCAATCAAAAGAGGTGGCCACTTTTTCACCAAACAGCAAAGGTCAATTTTTTTTCCTACTCAATTGTCACACCTAGGGGAAGACTAAATGTTCTGCATGTTATCCCTTGAAGATACACCAAAATTCCATGTCATCCTGAAAACTGCATACTAGCACTGAAGATTCCAGTGCTCACCTTTTTTAAAATCCCCCCCAGACTGTGGAAGCCATGCTGCATGCATACAGAAAACAAGGTGTTGCCTTACTTTCAGAGCTTTTCCAGAATCTTGACCATGAGAACAGAGATCATTTCATGTTTCTTAATAAAAGCAGCTAATATCAGGGATGAATGGTTAATTATTCAGCTACTTTGTATTTTAAAAATAAATCTTCCATCTACTAATATGTCTGTAAGTATTCAGAATTGCTAAGGGCCTATTTCTGAAGCCAATGTGTGTGCATGCAAAAGTTCAAGTGAAACCAAGTGATTTCATGCATAGAGACTTAAAGGTTTACTGCTACGACTTGCCTGGAAAACAAATATTTAACTGTAGTAATACAAATCTATTATACTGAATAGGTCAGCTCTTGTAGGTAGTACGATAAAGATATAAATTCAAATATTGAATATTCTCAATAATAAGAAAAATCAAGAAAACAGACCAATGAGTTCCCTTGTTTTGGCCTCAATCTCTCCCAAAAGAATCTCAGGATTGGCACAGATCTTGTCTTCATCAGCACAATAATTCTCTAAAAATTTCCTATATTCTGGATCTGTGAAGAAAAAAATTTAATTATGTTAATACTTTGCCATGCATAACAGAAATTTTCCACTGTGATGTCAAGAAAAGATGCTTACCATCTTCAATGCTCCCAGCCTTTGCATCTTTCTTCTTCAGCTTCTTTTTTGAAATCTTCTGGAATGGAGCAAACTCAACCACTGCAGGATATTCCAAACCTTAAAAGAAATCAATCCTTATTTTTTTTGAAGGGGAGAAACATTCCCTACCTTCAAGTAAGATTTTCCAAACTCTTGAACACATGTTGGGAAATCTTATGAGAAAACAAAAATGTTTCTACAACTCACTCCTAAACTTCTAATGAAAAGTTACATGTAGAGCTATTTAAAATTTTTAAAAACATCTTTTATTTGGATATGCTGACAAGATTGTGAAAATGAGGATAACTACTGTTGCAAAATAAAATTCTTTCATTATTATTTATAGCTTCCTTTAAATTATTCACAGACATTGATTTAAAAAATCTATCACAAAATCTCAATCTGACAAGTGATTAAGTACTATTGAGAAATCAACCTGCACCTGTTGAGTTGCTTTTCTAAGGCTTTGTTGCCTCAAAAATAAATAAATGACGGGTAATATGCAATAAAACAACAACGCACCTCCTTTCAGAACCACAACTGTAAAACTCAGCAGGCAGAATTGTGTGTAACTTCTCTGTTTATGATGGACTGTGTAACTGCTGCCTGTGTTTTCACTGGCAGGGATTCTTTGCTTTGAGTTGCCCCTTAAACACTGGCTTCTTCTGTGGACTGGAGTCAGAACCGTGTGTGGATTTTGAATTTCACTTGGTTTCCACTTGCAGCAGGTTCAAGATTAAACTTTACTCAAGTCCATGGAAAACTTGTCTTCAGTCTCCTAGAACATTTGTTAACCTTATTGAAGCTGCTAATCCTTGTTTCAGTGTTAGCTTCATAATGCAATGCTGCCACAAGCCTCACCAGAGAACACTTCTGATCAAACCTTGTGCTCTTTAATTGTACAAGCAATCGTATCATATCAGTCCAAGCTCAGTTTTGCAGAGGATTCTGGCTTCAGTCCAGCATATTACTGAAGAATGTGCTGAATTTAGGCAAAGTCTTAGCAGAATCATTAAAAATCTTCTTTCTAGTTTTAAATCTTAAAACACCCAGAATTTTAAATCTGGGAAATGCACACAGCTAAGGATGTGTTGTTCTTAATCTCTACAATAATCTAAATCTGAGGGATATTGGAAGCAAATAAAACAACTCAGGTAGGAAATGTTGAAGAGGAATGCATTAGTTTGACAGCTTCTTTAGAGATCAGTTTCTAGTAAGAGTGGGCAGGACTACTTTTCACAGGACCTCTTCAACACTAAGTATACAGAATAGAAAATGTCTGTACAAGAGAGCCACAAACCTATGTCTATTTTACATAACCTATGTATTTTTTTACAGAAGGTGAGGCAAGGAACTGCTAAAGTTCTGCTAAACCACTTCTTAATGATGGCAGTTTCATACTCCTGCAGAAGACCTGGATTTATCCACATCTACATTACAGACTTTTTCTTTACTGTTGGACAAACACTTGCAGACTGAACCTTTTAAAACTGGCAATCAATTTTACCATTCTTGTTCTTAGAACTCAACTCAGGATGTCAGCAAAGGCCCTAAAAATTCAATCTCTACATGTCTTAAAAGTGGGCAACCAATCAAAATGTTCAAGGTTTCCTCTTGCTTTTTCCAAAGAGGGGTAAATGGCAAAACTTTATCTCAGAAACACAGAAGATGTAAAAATCTGTGCTCACAATGTGTTCAGTTACTATTGTAATGAATTGTGAAGCTTGCATGAGGTAATTTTCTTAGTATGATCTTGACAGTGCATTGCCAAAAGTACAAGAATGCACATAAAGCATGCACACCACATAGACAAGCAAAACTGCATGGACAAATATATTTTGCATTTTGTTATATTTTAAGTGATAAATGTTAACATATTTCAATGTAATTAACTGCATAGTAAGGAAATAATAGCATAACTAGCAAAAAGAAAGGAAGTTGATGCTCTAAACTGCTATATGTATACATACACATTTAATATCTTATAAATAGTCCAACCTTTATTATCAATGAAGACATAGCCATCAAAGCGATCTCTAAAAAGAAGGATGTCCTCAGGATTTCTAAAGTTAATGTATGCTCTTGAGTAGAGATGAGGATAAAGGCTGCAACAAGAAACAATTTTATTTTCTGTTACTTATCATTCTTTTCAGGGCTAGGGAAAACATAAAACCAGAAGGATCACATAGTAATTAATTCTCATCTTCTTTGAGAAACTACTACCTTAAATAGCCTTTACATTTACCTATCTAATGATAATGTCATATACATATATGACAAAAAGTAACAAAACATCAGAGTTCTGTATGCAACTGTGAAATTTATTCTGAACTGACAAAAATACTTCCAGTTTATTTCGTCCCCCTAAATTGCAGCGCAAACATTTACAATTGTGCAGGATCGAAACTTTAATATTTCTCAATTAAAGAGATATGAATAACATCAGTGTTTTTGGGGAACTTCTTGGGCATACTAAGAAAAGGAAAGGTTAAGTAAAAGACTGCAGTGAAGGGGCAACTTCCAGGCTGTTACTGTATTTAAATAGATTTCCATTCTGATTCTTCAAGATTTTATTGGCATAGATCCCACTCCATCGGTAAATATTTAATGTGCCTGATAAAAACCTCAAGGCTGGCACACCTCAACCATGATGAAATGGAGGCAATTTTGGAATTAGAACCCATCAGGTAAGTTATTGTGAGTCATGGCATGTACATGCTTTAAACTCCTGCAACTGTTATATATGTCAGTTTGCATTAAACTGATTTAATGATGACTAAATATTACATCTAGTTTCTGAACAAATCTTAACACAAGCCCATATCTTTAATATACCTGTAATTCCATAATTCCATTGTCACCTATGGCCAGTCTTCAGATCGACTCACCACTGGCACCAGGAGCCAATAAACATACACAGCTCCAATTGCATTTCAATTCCATAGCTCTTTCAAAATCAGATTTCAGAATGAGTGAGAAAGAACAAAAATATGGGTTGTATCACAAGATCCATGCATGTGGCAGCTCAAAGCAACACTGCTCCCAAGTAATTTTTTTCTTTTTAAAATATGCATCCATATGCATCCACATGCATCCACTTACAATGTTACGAGGGGACCATAAAGAGCAGTGCTGTCAATCACCAATGGTTTTGTACACCCATCAATTTTGTGTTTGATCCTGTAGCCAGAAGAAATGTTAAAAAAACCAAAACAACCTAGAGGGCTTTTTTTATTGAGCTGCTTTGCAAATACCAGCTATGAAGTGTTTCTACAGCTAGAAGGGGATAAACTATTCCCAAGGAAGAAAGGAAGAACCATTTTATCCATATACACCTGGTATATTTTGACATTCTAAGATAGGAGCAGCATTGCATGAATGGTAAGTGGGTAACTGCGAGGGCATGCCAGGGCTGGAAGATGCTAATAGCATGGCTGTAGAGTTATCACCAAGATGCAAAGCAGATATAAAAAGACAGATTTCTTCTCATCGATTTCAAAGACAAAATTCAACATTTTCCATAACTACACAGAGTTAAAAAATGTATTTTAAAATGTGTAAGTAAAGGAGAGAATTTGGCAATCTATAGCTGTACTGGAAACAATGTCTCTATGCTGCCTAATGGCAACAACAGTAGAAGTCTCAGATAACTGGAGTTCCCACGAAGAAGGAAATTTCCTTCTCAGTCACAACAACAGCACTATTATGTTTCATGTGATTTGAGGTTTAAATTAAACAAGGCCTGACATTAGGCTAGTATGATTGTACACCTGAAGTGCTAAATATTCATCAGATAAAACCAGGAATCTTGAAGGAGCATTCTTTTTCATTCCAGTTATTATTACCTGAGATTGAGGAACTGAGTTTTAGTCCCTAGTCTAAATAGCTACTCCACTGTTCTTTCCATCTTCAGCTTTTGTAAAATACTAAAACTTTCTATAGATTTTGTTGGAACTCAAAATGTCCCTCAGACATTTTTAGAGGTTCCAGGCCTTGGTCAGAAGCATTTTAGACCCTGGCAGGCAGCTGGAAACAGCTGTGATTTTGAGTTTGAGCCATGGAATGAGTTACCAAGTTTGGAGGTGGAACAAGCAATCACAAAGGGTTAGATAGTATAGGAAAAGCAGTTGCAAAACAGAGGGGAAATTTTTCTAGTATTGTACAGGGGGGTTTTAGCACCTGTACAGGAGGGTTTTTACTTTGTACATGGGGGTCAGAAGTTCTAAGATGGAGGAAAGTGGGCTGATCCTGTTCTTCCTCTTTCTTCTTCCTTACCTCCATGTTCTTGGTGATGCTGGCACTTATGGATTGGTTTAGAGTAGAAAAGCACCTTGTAACATAGGTAGTAGGTATTGGGGGAAAACTGTAAACATATAACAAGTAATGTATCATATAAAAGCTAGCAGCAGCCCTGGGCGGGGGGAGAGAAGAAGAGGACAGCAGACAGAGAGGGTGTCAGGGTGTGTGTGTGCCTCTGCCTGGGCCGCTGACCAAGCAGCCGCAGCCCGAGAAGACAATCTTTTAGATAACTCACAATAAACTGCCTTGAGACTGAACAGCAAGAGGCTGTGGAGTTTTTCTTTGGAAGCACAGGTTGGAGGAGAGACTTTACCACCACACAAGACCCCCAAACCAAGCCCAGGGTTCTCTCAAGATTTAAGACTGTTACCTGGACAAGGGTCCACTGCTACATTACTGTGGCACTTCTCTGCCTCAGTACACGGTGGACATTGTCATCATACAGTTGGATATCTTTTTCCTCTAGGAACTTAGAACCTTATGGTTAGACACATTCTGAAACAGAACTGAAAATACAAAGGCTTGCTCCTTCCTTGTTTCCTTTAGCTGGTATATCAATGCCACCTCTTTCACCTTCTTGGGCAACATAACCTTTTCTTGGTACACAACATAGTATTTTTCTAGCTTTTTCAGCTTAAACAGAGTATCTTTCAAAATGGAGAATCATCTGACATGGTTATCAAGCACTCATCAGTAAGAAAGAACAGAGTCTATATAAACAGAACACTGGAAAACAGATATTTAGAATTTACCTTGCAAGTAAGGGATCTAGTGTTGCTGCTATACATTAACATCTTCAAGAACTTCACATGCATCAGCAGAAACACAGAACAATATAAAAGCACAGTTGAGCACAGCAGGATATTGATGTGCAGCACAATAGCACAGTCTGTCCATTACTGTAGCTGTGTATTAGGGTAGAAGGTTGCAGAAACAGAGCTGTGACAATGCTTCTCTGATGGAGCCACTTCCACAAGAGTTGGTTCTCCTATGTATGTGAGTCAGCTATCAGAGTGCTTAGTGCAAAAAAACACCCAAATGAGTGTTTCAAACCCTTGTCTTAGGCTTCTTACCCAGCAAAGTGTGCAGTGTGCCTAAAAAAGTGAGTAAAATTAACTTTCTAGGTGGGAAGCTAACTAAACCTAGCAAATTTGGAATACTTAGCAGTGGTTTGCATATATATAACTTTTACTCTAGGTTTCACACATATGACTTCCAGCAGCTACTTCCCACACTGGATTGTCTTTACCTATCCATTCAGAACTCAACAGCATGGTCATGCAGCAAAGAATGCACAGGGCTTCACAAGGCTACAGGCACTCTGAGGCTAACAACCCCTCCTAGGAAGAAACACTCTTGCTTGACTTTTGTACTTAGTATTTAGCAGTTACTGGCTAAAATACTCTTTACTCTTCAGGATTTTGTCTTCCAGCTGAGTCCTACAGAAGTGAACTCTGTATGTCCCCTCCTTTTTTCAAGTATCTACCACCACAGATTTCATTGAGGATCTGAAATTCAGTTTTATCATCCAAGAGCTGGTTCCATTTTGCCATATGTTTGCTGTCTATAATGCTGCTTTCCATATGTATAATGTTTTGGACAGATGCACTGCAAATGTTGGCACTTAGAGCAATCTCTATGGAAATAACCCAGATGAGTCTGAGTGTACACATTTATTCATTCCAACACACTGTTTCTTTTTTCTTTTTCTGCTCTGCATTCAAGGGTATTCAATCTTTCAGAGTACATTTATTTCTCTAACACTTAGTCTGTCATCTCTTTAAGTCCTTATTTTTCTAGCAACTTTAATAATAAACACATTGTAAATGTTTTCTTCTTCTACAAAGTACCTTTTAACACAATTGTGTAAAAATATTGGTACACAGGAATATAATTTTAAATAGTTATCTACAGTCTAAGCAGCAACATATGAACTATAAAAACAGCAATCTCATCTTAGTAAAATACTTATCAACTCTTGAATCATGGTGGACATTCATAAAATATATACTTACATGTATATAGAGCTCAACAACTAAATTCTGGAGAGTCAAATAACTCCTCCACCCATTCATACAGTAATTGATAACTCATCATCAATATTGTCATGTCAAGTTAAAATCCCCTGGCTGTCATCCTTAACATCTTCTGTGGTCATTCACATTATGGGTGGAACTGGCACAATTGCAAACAAGCTTAGTCTTTCCTTTTCACAGCTATAAATGAGCAGTTTTCTTGGCAGAGAAAGCAGAAACACTAGAGTCGTGCCAATCAAAGCCTGTCAATTATTTCACACAGAATAGTGGTGGTTCACTTGAAGCACTAAAGGCACTGCCCCTTCAGTGCTGCAGTTCTTGGGTGCAAACCTACATCCTACAGTGTTAACACTGTTTAGCTACAATAATCCTGAGCAAAATGTTGGGAAGAAGTTATGGAGAGAAAAGGAGGAATGCTCTTTGGAAAAGCTTTATCACTCCCTGTGATACATGGCATGGAACTGACTACTTGAACTGTTTTCATGCGAGCAAGGCTTGTGTTCAGATTTCTTTCCTTTCATAACCTCACAACACTATCAACAATTCCTGACACTCAGCACTCAATGCCAGGCCAGAGAGATTACCCAAACCCTGAAGGGCCAGAGATCAATCACTTGACTAGTGATTAGTCAAATCTTTAGAATAGGCTCAGAAACCTTTACTAGCAGACAAAAAGGAAAGAGTGTCTGGAAAAAATAGTTAACATTAAAGTCTGAGTACACAACAGTCTGTCAAGAAGGCAGAGTCTTTATTATCACCTATAAACAGTGCTTTGTTTGCATTTTGATGCCAATATGCAAGAGAAATAAAATGTAATGCAGTGAATCAGATGAACCTGAAAAAGGCACGAAACACAAGTCACTTTCTGAAATTATTTTACTGAAATGGATGTAACTGAAAAACTGAAAATTACATTAATCACATGAAATTTGAAAAAGTTTTATAGCTTGCCTATAACAGGACATTGTAAACTTAAAGATAACACTTATAAAGATATTATAAAGATTACAAAAAAAGAGAAATTGGAGTTGATATGCATATCTTTGCTTTGTCCACTAGGATGAATTATCTTGGAAATAAAAATGTAGAAACAGCTACAGTTAGACCTCTCTAGTGCCCTTACCAACAGCAACTAATAGAGAATGCTTCACTCAGTTCATAATTTCAAGTATCTGCAGCCTAGGGACTTTGTAATACCAGGTTGGTAACATATTTAATAGGTTTTAATAGATAAATATTTGTCTTAGTAAGTATTTGTCAAACTGCTCCTGACCTATTTCCAACATTCATCATTCGTGGCATGAATTTCTGACAAGTTCTAAAATCTGAATGAGCTTATATAAACTTCTGTGATGTAGTTACACAGGATGTGGTTAAACTGAGATGTTACAGCTCTTAAGGAAACTTGTCTGCTTCTGCATCAAAGCATCTCTATGCCCCTTTCCCTTTCCACCAGATCCTCTTCACTGAGTAGCTTCTTCAAATCCTTCTCATTTGGGTGGCATTTCTTTTCATCTTCACTTGTTTTTGTTATCACTGAATTCTCTGGATTGCTTGCCACTATGCACATGGTACAGGATCTAGAAAAAAGCTATTCAGTGAAAGACAGAAAACATGCCAACCTTGTCCTGTAGCTTTTCCTGTTAGCTGGAATGACATGTAGACACATGCACAGAGTTTGCTGAAATCTTGTGAACTGTCCATAACATGACAGACTATGGCAATATCACGCCTTATACTCAAAAAGTATTCTCTGCTGGGTAATACAAGACTGAGATTAACCTTGATTAAACTTTTAATTTCTGGAGGTTTATTGTATATTCCTGAGTGGGTAATGTAAAGAGATGACTCATAAAAAGATATACATGGTATGTGTCAGCATTTGAACAAAGGGGACAAAAGAGGCAAGGTGATCTTGAGTCAATCAAAAACCAAATAATCAGTCAAGCCAACACTGCAGAAGGGCAGTGAAATGGCCATGTAAACTGTGTAGTTTGCTGAAAGAAGCTATAGCCATACAAACCTGGTAAAGATAAACCCATTCCAAAAAACCCATCTTTTTTCTGAAAACACATTTTTGAAAAGCAGGATGAAGAAAAATGGAGCAAGCATAAAACATTTCATGCTGAAAAATTCAAACTTAAATTAATTATTTTTTTAGTGAGTTTAGATTTGTGAAGGCAGAAGAAAATAACATTACAAATGATAGTGTGAGAGAAAAAAGAGTATCTTTCATTGGTACTTTGCCATAGATGTAATTAAACAAATGAACAGCCAGTATTTTGGGTAATCCAAATTTCATCACATAGGAGAGAGAATGAAACTTTATATATGCAACTATTGTCAGTGCCTTCTCTTTTCTAAAGAGGCTGACTCCCTAAATTTTTATGCAAACTTTTCTGGAAAATTAAAATTGGAAATTTTTAAACTGTTAATTGGTATTTGTGCATCTAAACACAGTGAGAACTGACACTCTTCTTCAGAGAATTTTTGGTTTGCCTTTGGTGTTTTCCTCTTATCAAATGAACAGCTGGGACAGAAGCCTTTAAAAAGGCCCATGTGGAAATAGAGATGACAAAGTTCAGAAGAACGATGTAAGGTACGAAGACTTCCAATCAGAATATGTTCTCCTCCTTCTTCACTTCACATACTTTGTGGTTTTAACAGAAAATCTGAAGCACCTACTATTTTCTTGCTGCACTCATGTGCAACTACCTAGGTCAGAAAAGGTCATAATTTCTCAAAATAGACATTTATTTATTCTTGATTGTAAAACTGACTCTGAGAGAACCCCTATCTTAAAAATTTGCTCAGCAATAAAGAGTCGGCATCCCTGTAGTCAGTGGAAAGAATCCCAAGCCAGTGGAGGGGTGATTAATCACACACTAAGATATGGTAAGATGGATCTTATAATTCAGTTTTTCAGAACACATGAAGATTAAGCATACACAGTGTTTTGTTTCTCTTCTGGAAACTGATTTATTCAAAAATGAATTGCATTTTACCACTGTGATACTAAGTAAATTATGTAACTATATCAGCAATTCTGATTCAATTTTAATCAGCCAATATTTCTTTTTACTTTTGCATGAGACAAGAACGAATAAAACTAGAATAAAATTTAAAAATTTGTATGAAGCACATAAAAATCCATGCAGGTAACCCAAATGGAACTCATGAAAACATTCTGTCATTGTTTGCCCCAGACTGAATCTTGCTCACAGGCAATTAAACAGGCTGTTACAGTTTACCAATGAAGGTTGAAAGAAACATCAGGGTTTCAAAATATATTATGGCCTATTCACACCAAAAAAAAAAAAAAACAAACACTTTAACATCTCCTGTGTAAAGGAAAAGAGCAGGAATGCCATTGTCTCTGCATATCTCTGCAGCCAGCTTTCAGAAATATTTTAAGAAATAGACCAAACTATTCAGAGACAATCAAAACATTCCTCATTTGTGGAGATGCCAGGGTGCTTGGCTGACAGGGAGTAGGTGAACTTTTAGTTGTGTAATGGCTAAACCTCTGATCTGATAAGGCACAGGGTGAATGATGGGCTGAGAGTGAGATAAGAGCTGGATCCAGTGGAGAGAATTGTGCCCCTTGTCATGCCAAGCTGTGCTTCCTTGCACAAACCACTGGGCTGTGGGGCTTGCCCTCCTCCCCCTGGAAATGCCAGGGAACTCAAGTGTGACCAGAGCAGGTTCATCTCTGCTGATGGGACATAATGGGGCAAACTGACTCAACTGCACTGATAGGATGGCTAGCTGTGCTGTCTTAGAAGGTGTCCCCTGATCCACATTCTTACATCAAGCTCACCACCCTGGAGGAAGTGATTTCTATTCACCTGCATCTGAGTGAATATAGACCCAAGAGATGCTGTGTTCCACCATATTCTCCCCACCACTTATTCAGGACTTCCCATCCACTCCTCCTGCCAGATCTGGATCCAAGACTGCACAGGAACCAGGTCTTATTGCAGGTAGTGAGATCCTTGCACTCTTGTACTTTGTTTTTCTTTCTTTTGTGCTTCACACTCTTGTTCTTTCTTCCTTTTTCTTTCTTTCCCCTTGTATGTGTCCTTGGGTGATGTTGCACTTTCACATTGCAATGCTTTCATGTTGTATTACTATAGATAATAACCACCCAAACAGCTCCATATGTGTTTTCCTTTGCAGCCAAGTTGTTCTATAATAAACCCTACACTGTTTATTTACAGCTACTGATCATTCAGTATTGTTTCACACTAACGTCCCCCAAGGGACCTAGTAACAAGAACCTGGGTTATCCTCACCTTCTGAGGCAGGCCATTACAGTAGCTCAACAAAAATAATAACAAAAGGAAAAACATTGTGATTTGCAATGTCCCACATACCCTAATTAGGTTTTCTGCACCTGAAAACCTACAGAAACAGCTCATCCTCACCTGGGATCAGCAGTGCAAAACTCAAAATAATCATGGGCAGGTAGAGGATGCAGCTGTTCCTCCAGTTGCTCTTTGGTTAGACAAGGAGGAAGCCTTCGAATGACCACCTGCATATATAAAAAGAAATGGAGATTTATATTTGATCTAAATACTGTAGAAACAGATGGTACAAATTCCCTGACTCAGTTCCTGCAATTGTTTTGAAACTGTAGGATAATTGACATATTCTGATGAAAAGCCTGAGAACCATTGCAATTTATTCATCAATGTAAAAAATAGATATTGATTACATAAAAATTTTAAATTATCTTTAAGAAATGATTTAAGCTAGCTTTTAAGTCTTGTTACAGCAGTATTTCAGTGTAATAGGTTTCTGTGTCCAGCTGCTCCTGGCAGGGTTTTTTCAGGGCAGCCTCTGAGAGGATGCTCTGGCTGATCAGTGCTGAGTGCAGCCAGCTCCACTGGATCCACCCCAGGGCACAGCTGAGCCCCCTAAGCCAAGTTGGTGGTGACACTGGGAAAGGTATTTAAGAATGGACAGGAAAGGTAGCACAGCAGTGGGTGAGACAGAGGAGTAAGAGGGGGAAAAAAGTGTAAGAAACAGCCCTGCAGACAAATAGGAAAGTGCTCCAAGTGCCGAAGCAGAGAGTCCCTTGGAGGAGATCATGGTGAGGCACACTGTTCCTCCACATGCCATAAAGGACCACAGTGGAGAGGACATCCACTGCAGCCCATGGGTAACCCCATGCCACAGCAAGTGGAGATGCTCTGAAGGGTCCTGCAGCCTGTGCAGAGGAGTCCACACTAGATCAGGTTTATCCTGAAGGCCTGCAGCCCATGAAGGAGACTCATGCTGCAGCAGGTCATGAACAACTGCAGCATGTGGGAGGGACACTTCTGCAGCACTTCATGAAGGACTGTATCCTGCTGTGTCCCATGTCAGGTCCCCCATGCTGTAGGAGGGAAGGAGTGTGAGGGAGAAGGAGCAGCAGAGAGGAGCTGTTATGTCCTGTTGCAACCCCCATTCCTCATCCTTCTGTAGTCCTTCCAGGCAGAGGAGATTTGGAACATGTTTTAGTTGCAATCTTTAACAGTCTTCCCTAATTTTTAATTAGCCATTAAGTAAATGAATTCTCTCCATGTTAGAACCATACTGCATCCTGAGATAGAAGGAACCCACAAGGACCATTAAAGTCCCCCTCCTGGCCCTGCCCCAAGAATCACAGCCTATGCCTCAGAGCATTGGCCAAATGCTCAACTCTGTTAGGCTTAGTGCTGACTATTTTCCTGGGGAGCCTGTTCCAGTGCCTAACCACCCTCTGGGTGAAGAAACTTTTTCTATATGCAATCTAAATCTCCCCAGACACAGCTTTGTGCCATTTCTTCACATCCTGTCACTGGCCACCAGAGAGAAAGTACCAGTGCTTGCCCCTCCATTTTCCTTTGTGAGACAGTTGTAAGAAGCTGCTATGAGGTTTTCCCTCAGCTGTGTCAGTTTTTCCTGTGATGACACTGTTTTTTTTCCATCATACCTTATTCCTGGGTCTTGCTGAGGGAGGAGTGCAAGGCCACCTGGCTTGAGGTCAGCCACCCAGAGACAACCCACTACACCAAGCTAAACTGCCCAATAAAAAAGGCCAGAAAACTGTGTAGAAACCTCTGGTTGAATGATGCCAGCACACAAAGCAGCAAAATGGCCATCAAGCTTCAGGCAAACCTGTTTTAATTTCTGAGTACTTTAACATCTGAATTTAACTTTACTGAGTTATAGTAATTTTTAGTGCTTCAGTTTTCTAATTAAAGAAATCCCGGGAATAAATCAAATCTCACAGTACTCAAAGACTCAGAATTACCCTCCTGCCAAGGCAGTGTCACCTAGAGCAGGTGCCACAGAACTTGTCCAGGTGGGGTCTGAATGTCTCCAGCCAGAAAGACTCCGTGACATCCCTGGACAATCTGTTATATTAGTCTGCAAGTATTATTTGAAAGGCGCTCGAATAAAGACGGAGAAGACAGATGTGCTCTTGCCCTTGTGAGAAACTGCTTTGCCACAGCAATAGCCAGCCTTAACTTCACAATTAAAGGTGAAATTATTTCCAGCGCTGTCGCTGGGGGTCTCCCACTACTCCAGGGAACGAACACTCATTCTGCAGATGAAGAAATTCCCGTTATAAGCACACGAACCTCCCGAGATCAGGCTCGATCTGTCTCCTCACTGCAGCCTCCCTCCCCGCTCTCCCCTCTCCTGCCGGAGCCGCCCCCGCCCCGCGCCCCCTCACTTTGCTCAGCGCCGATCTCTTCTCCTCCCGCTGCTTCCCCGGCGCCGGGGGAAGCGGCGGCGGCAGCGGGGACGGGTTCGGCGGAGCGTCGGTGTCGCGGCGCGGCGCCTCCTGCTGCAGCGGGGCGTCCATGGGCCGCGAGTCGCGGCCGCCGCCCCGGCCCGGCTCCAGTCCCGGCTCCAGCCCCGGCTCCAGTCCCGGGTCCAGCCCCGGCTCCAGCCGCAGCCCTGCCTCCCGCTCCGAGCGCGCGGAGCCGCCCGCCCGCAGCCGGCGGAAACCTCGCGAGAACGGCCGCGGCGGGCGGGCTCTCGCGAGGCTGGCCGCGGCGAGGAGCGGCGGCTCCGTGCCCGTGCTCGCCCCCGGGACGCCGCGGGGCGCGCTGCCGTGCGGGGGCCCCTTCCCGCCTCTCACGGCCGCCTTGTCACCTCCGCCTCAGCGGCTCGTAGGGCGGGAAGGGCACAGACACCGCGGGGCGCGTTATTCAGTCTTTGGATGCTAGGTCTAAGGGGTAGCCAAATCCTGGGGAGAAAGCAGCGGGAAAAACGAAATACAAGGCCATTAATCGTTATGCGTGAGGCCAGGAGTCTTATGGCTGCAGGGAGGGTCTGTGATAATTAAGAAGCAGTGCCTACCCTTCGGCAGTGCACGCCAGCCTCAGTCCCTACGCGCAGCAGGCGAGACTTCCAAAGGTGCCTCCGGGCCCTTCTGCCTGCCTTCCTCGGGAGCTGTGCTGATAGCACACGGGAGAGCGGGTGCAAACCGAGACAGGGGACATTCAAGCTAGATGTTAGCAAGAAACTTACTGTCAGGATGGTGAGGCACTGGAAGAGGTTGCCCAGGGAGATTGTAGGTGCCCATCCCTGGCAGTGGTCAAAGGCAAGTTGGACAGGGCCTTCAGTAACCTGGCAGGGAGGTGTCCCTGCCTTAAAGGATCTTTAAGGTCCTTTCCAACCCACACCATTCTATGATTCCATGATTATTCTAAGTACAGCAAGCTCCTAAGGAAGGACATGTCACACATTTAAAGACAGGCTTGTCTGGAGCTATGAGAATTAGACAGTGCAAAAATGCCTGCAATTTAATCACAATACACAGGGTCATTGCAAATCTTCAGATCCTGCTGCATTGATAGTCCTCAAACAGCTGTCCACAGCATGAAGGAAATACATTATCTGATGTGGATAATAAAAGTAGATAGCATTGGCTGCAAAAACTGAAATCATAGAATATTCAGAGTTGGAAGGCACCCACAAGGAACATTGAGTCAACTCTTAAGTGAATGGCCCATATGGGGTTTAAACTTGCAACACTGGCATTATTAGCACCAGGCTCCAATCAATTGAACTAACACATTATCTGTTTTCAAATCTTTTAGGCAGAAGTATCTATGAAGAAACTTTTGGAGCCATTTGCAGCACAATTATCTTGTGGGTTTTCGTATCTGTTCTGAAAACCTTTAAGGAAGCATCCAGATCTCCCCTCTCTGGGACAAAACTAATCCTTGGAAGAGAAAGATGAAATTATGAGACAGAGTCAAAATGTCCCTTTTGGGGATATATTTATCAGCCACTCAACCTGACAGTCCTGGACCCTTGTACTCAGCAGCCAAAGCTAAGCAAGGCAATGGTAATGGCTTGCAGCATGAACCAAGAATCTGAGGTCAAGTCAGGCTGAAACCAATAACCAAAGTCCTCACGAGGACAAGGACAGTACTCAATTTAACTAGAGCCAGGGTGAATGCCATAATAACCCAGAAAGGCACAAAGCATTCTCTAGTAAGAGCAGGACAGGTGATGGGAAGTGCAGAAGACCAGGACAAGCAGGTGCTCCCAGTACAAAGGCAGGGATTTAGACAGAACAAGAGCAGGTCAAAACATTGAACAGAAGATAAATGAGGGGAGAAAAACTTCCCCTAAAGTCCTGTCTGAGACAAACATCATGAACCAGCTTACAAGCTCTAACCCAACTGTAGCTGCCTAAGAGGCTTGGAGCCAAGCCGTCTCAAGAATTCCTCTGACATACAAGAGTCCTTCACAATCTAGGACACCTTGCATACATTTCTTTCTGGGCAATTTTTAATACCAATAAACGAAGGTTAGCAATAGCCAGCCAAACAACCTCCAACAGATACGTGCTAAGGCACAGTGTCATGATAGGCTGCTGTTATAGCAATGCCCATTCTCACTATTCCATCTGTTTCCTCCCACTCCAACCACTCTGCCCCACTGACAACAAGTAACACAGCAGGGACTTGCTCTCCTTGAACCTGAGAATTGATCAGATCTAGAAAATATTTTAAAATGCTGTTCCAGTTCCCTGATTTCATTCACAATGTAACCGTACAAGGATTTGTATTACCGCAGCTGAGGATTAGATTCCTACAGGCAGGAATAATGTAAACCAATGTTGCCATCACAGCCAACACAGCATCAGATCATAACTGAGGAGTGCAGGAAGAAAGATGAACTTCTATCAATATTTAAAACCATTTTGCCAATGAAAAAGATTAGTAACAGAGCAAAACAATGCAAAATTTATATCCATGTCTGACAGTAGTCAAAAGGCCTGATTTTCTAGAATACTATTTTGCCACCTTCTATTTAGAAGCTGTCATGATGTCTTACTTGAAAACTAGATTGACATATGCAGAATTAAAAATAATTATATAGAGAAAAAGGAGTTTGGGCCCTTGATAATCTTTGAGAATCTATTTGCAATATCCTTCTGTGTGCAGCAACAAGCCATTGTTGTCATAATACCCATGAGATAGTCTTGGTTACAATCACTCAGGATACATGAGCACAGATGTAAAAATAAATTTCAAAAGATCCTTTAAAGGAAGAGACCTGCTAATAGAGCAGCTGTTGAGACATACAATAGTGATTCTTCCAGAGTGGTCAGGAAAAATCCCCAGTTTATGTCAAAGAAGTCACCTGCACCATACCCAAATCACCAGGTTCCAAATGAAAATAAAGCCCTTTGTATGAACTCCTTTGCCAGTCAAACTGAAGAAGAGAGACCTGGCTCTGCCCAGGAGATGCATATGCCTCCTAAATTATTAATTTTTCCTACACTGTGCTTGGATACTTTTTCATTTAAGACTCGTGGCTCATACTATGTTTTTCAGGAGAGCGTGTAACTTTTGGTGAATTGTTTTAGAACTAGGAAGTAAAACATTTTTGTTCACCTCATTGTCTCATGTTTAAGAATATACAGGATTGGTATTGAATTCTGCACTCAATGCAAAGTCCAATCTATATTTTCTAACATATGGAAGGGAAATTTGGGCATCTTCTGTTCCCTTTGTGGAACCACAGCACAATTGTCACTGAGACAGAACCAGATTTCTCTACACTGCTGTGCTGGTCCTCATAGGAAAGTAATGGGATCACCTGGACCAAACAGATTTCCACAGATAGAGTGTGTGCAATTGCTGATAAAATACAGATTCCTCCCCAAACTTTTCCTCCCTTGATACCCTTGAATTCCAAAGTGCAGTTGTGTCTAAAACTTGATTTCATCTTCAGTAATGCACAGGCATGTGCAAAATAGCCAATACTCTGGATTCAAACTATGTATATGGCCTGCATCAATGCAATGAGGTCTTCTTGATTCAGATGGGGATTCACAAGAGTGCTATCAGGAAAGGAATATTTATAAAGTAGGAACTATAAAACTCCCGGTGTTAAGTACATAGTAGTTTGAATTCATATAAAAAATAGCAAATCCATGAAAGTACACCACCATAACAAAAATGCTAAAACAAACATACTACACTTAGACAAAATCAGCTCTCTACCAGTATTTATGGTCACGTACTATGGTCTGACATTGATGTTTCTAACATCATATCACTTTCATTCATTTCAATCTCAAATGTTTCTTCCAATGGGCGACTGGTATCTGTACTTTTCCTTTGATTTGATGTCTCTAATGTTACTATGCCACTTTCATCCAGAGTTTGTCTTTCTATGTCGAATTCTCTGAAATCCCAGGGAGGTGAAATGATGTTCTTTAATGTCTTCACTGTGTGTACATCGAAGTCATAACATCTTAATTTGTCTTTGATCTCTGTTCCTAGGAAAACAGACAAATCAGTAGTTTATTTCAAATGAACACTCCCAAAAATGTAATCTCAAAGAAACTATCATTCAGAAACTACTATAATTCTCTGCTTTCAGACCATCAAGGAGCTGCTGCTGCTTAATGACTGAAGCTGAATGAGTTGTTCGGAAAAAATCCAGCAGCCTCCTTTCTCAAAAAAGCACTATACTAGAAGCACAACTCAGATTCAAAAGTGTGTTTTGAGAAGAAATTGCCAATTCCCTTCACAATTCTCCAAGCGGCTTTTTTCTTGTTTAAGTTACACACAGCTTGGTTTACATTAATGCATATCACGTGCCTTCATGGTTCTTCCAGATGTGTTAAGTGACTACATATGGAGCAAGACAATATTGAGAAGAAACATCTGTTTCAATTGTGTGAAAAATCTGTAGGAAAAGCACTAGAACACACAGATGGCTTTTACTTTTAAAGCTTCAGCCTTCTTAACATGCTTGACAAGACATCAACTGTGTTCACTACAGATAAATCACTAAGTTCAGTGAAGCAAGAATCTATAAAAAAATATATAATTTTTTTGCAGGGAAAATCTTTCATAGAAAATTTAAACCTATGGCAATATAATGTATTACTGTTATGAAGAACTTTTTTTACCATATATAAAGCTGTATTTTTAGAGTCAGAAGAACCTACCCTGTCTCCACAAAGACAAGTTTTGACAAGGTGAAAATACCTTGCTGTACAACAACATTAGCATTAGTGCTCTGATTTCCTAACTCCATACCTCTGTTTAATTTTCCCCCATTTGCTTTTCGATCTAAGATGCCACAAATCAATATTTTACATAAAAGAAACCATCAACACCTTTAATGACAAAGTGTTTCCTTTTTTTATGCTGGTGAGAGTACTGTCATGATGCTTACAAAAACCAGTGGTCATCTGCAATTGCTGCTAAGTTTTGACTCACTTAGCCATTAAAAAGAAACAGCCAAAAAACCCAAACAAAATCATCCTCTACTTGGTTAGGTAATTAGGTAGTGGTAGGCAGTCCTTTTTGACATAACACTCCTCTCAAAGGACTCAATGACTTCAAGACACACATAAGTTAGAGACTTACCAATATAGGCTTCAGAATCACCAATGTACATTTCTATGCAGTGTCCAAGCATTGTGACCGAAAATGTGTCGTCCCGCCGGAGACCAAGGGCCTATGGAAAAAAAAACCAGTAAAAAGTATTTAGCATCAAATAAAGACATTTACATCGTAAGTCTGCAATGGTTCAGTTTGTTGGTTTGTTGTTTCACAATGCTATCTGAGCATAGTCTTCACTGTAAAAGCAAAACATTGCACAACAAAAATAACACCATCATATGAACTGGCTGAAGTAGTAACCAAGGAAAGCACAAAAACAAAAGCAGAAAAGAACATATATACAGACAGGAAATCATTCACATATGAGCTACAACATATGCTGCTGTTTACTTACTGCAAAATTTCTAGGTTGGAAGTACTCAAAATTATTTAAGGTGCATGAGAAGCTTACATACATGAAATGGAAATTGCAACTCAAAGTTTATCAGAGGCCATTTTTTTACCTAACCAATAATATATAGAAGATTTAAGAAAAAAAAACAAATTAAGATTATAAAATAAACACTCATTTGGAGGCTGGAAAAATATGCTGGTTCTCTGCTTCAAACCCAAACCAGAGTGAAACAGTAAATAACAGAATCTGTGACCAGCCCTTCAGCTGAAGGCAGTTACATACCGTGTGGAAATAGTCAATGGCGCTTTCAAAATTGCCCATGAGGCTGTGTATGTAGCCAATGGCAGAGTAGGTAGAAGCATTTTGAGGGATTAATACCAGAGCCTGGCGATGGTATTCCAGTGCTTCTTCATACTTCCTGTGAGGGTTAAGTACAGGAGATCTATTAGTAAGCTTCATGGTGAAAGGTGCTTTTACAGGACCCTGTGGGTATTTTCCTTAGCAAAGTAGAACACAGTTGTGCCAGAACTTAAAAATTATTGCTTCAAACTCTGAACATAATAATAGAATGGATGTTGACAATTTTCTTCCTCAGTGTACTTGTGAAATCATTGTTCTCTTTACGTAGCAAAACAGTTGCCTACAGCAAAGTCCCATTTGGAGATCTAGATGTTTGATACAGTAAACTGCTTTAGATGTTTAATGTTGCTCATTGTAGCACTGGCTTTCTTTCTGTAACTTTCACTTGCCTTCCCGAGGGAGAGAAGGAGCAGTATGAGACTAAATCACACATGATTCAAATGGAGAAAAGCTCTCTGGGCAGAAAGCTCACAACCCTGAAGTGCTGCATACAATGATACCTTCATCATTTTGCGACACGCTCTATCAGAAAAGGCAGTTTACACATATCCATGATATCTATAAAATACCAATCTGTCTTTGAAAATTGTCTATTAACTACACTGATAATTGTATTTGTTTTTTTATAAAACATGGATTAAAAGTACACTACAGCATTACTCTTGAGAAATTGTCATATTTGACATCCTAGTTCTACGCTGTTAAAATAAAGACAGATATCATCTGTTTACAAGAAATTTTAACATCTAAAGTGATAAAGAAATTATGCAATGAGCAACACACAAAGTTGTTAGAGGCCATCAAGTAACAATTGAGGCAGGAAAATTACGCAACTGTTTGCTTGCTGCACAAACCTTTCACATGATTTCAATTTCATTTTCACTCATAGTATTTATTCATCCAATTGACTACCACTGTTTTTGAATATGTTGCTTTCAAATTTCAACCACATACTAGTGAGTAGACATATATCCAATAAGTTTTTCATAATAGCCATATTATGTATTACAGACATTACTAAATTAGTTACTACAGAGTTTTTTAAGATGTCAAAGCATATGCACAGCTGCCTAAATTCTCAACTTGATTTTCTTGGAAGATGGTTTACAAGGATGCAGAAATATTTCAGCTGTGATTTTTGAACCTGAGAAAACATTAGAAGTTGTACAAAGCATGATGTAAGCATTTAGAAACTCACTATAGAATTTTTAAAAAGACAAAAGTAATTATAAACAAAACAAGTATTTGAAAAACCCTGCAATTATACTCATGGACAGATTTCAGAAGCAGTGCCTTTTGTTTTATCTTGGCACAAGGAGTAACTGTTATATGTCCTTATTTCATAATGAAAATAAAGACTAATTGGCAATTAAAGCACAAAGCAATTACTGCCAAAGCAGAAGTACAGCTTTCATCTACCATAATCACATTCTCATTAGCAGCTTTAAAACAAAAAGTACAGCGTACACCAATTGAGCAATTAAAACCACTGAAAATATTTTTTAAAATTGCATTGATTGAAAAAAAGAAAGGACTGGGTAAAGTCAGATTAAGGTAATTAACAAGAAAATGTCTCTATGTTAAAAGTGTTAATACTTGTATATGTATGCTTTGCACTTTTTCTAGTCATTGAATAGAAACATGAAATGAAATATTAAATAGTTTTGTTCTAAAACACAAAGTAAGACTCCCTTGCTGTGTTATAATGCCACTGAATATTTCACTTCAGTAAAAAAACAAAAAGTGCTAATCCAATTAATTGGCATAAACCCACCTTTATGTTAACTAAATCAGTGGACATATTTCAGTATGTGAGGACTGGGACAGTAGAGAGTTAAAATTCACAAACATACAAGCATTTAAAAGCCTACAACTAATTCCCCAATAAGAATCAATAGTTAAAGAAAGGCTTTTACAAAATGTACTTTAACTTTTGTGTAATAGATGGGATATTAGGGGTGATTAATGTAGTTATGTTCACAAGCTGATTTAGAGAATCTTGTTCTTAAGATAGAATACAGGAGAGAGAAAATACATATGTGCAGCATTATAGAGAAATGGAGCTCCAGTACTCTCTGCTTACTTGAGTTTTCTGCAGACGTGTCCTAAGTTGTTCAATAAAGGCTCCCACTTATCAACTGTTACCTGCAAAATAATGCAACAATTCAAATAACTGCAGCTTCCTAGACTGTAACTAAATTTTGTCTACTTAAAAAAACCCAAAACATATAAATGAATAGGGAATTTTGTTTATTAACAAGAAAAATACCACAAGCATTTTAAACTATTAAGAAAACACGCAAGCTGAAAACATTTCTTCAACAACTAATTTTTCTAATTCCCCAAAGCTAATAATATCTCTTTAAAGGGTCAGTGTTTTTAAAACTTGATGCAAGTCAAACAAAACTTGTTTTCTACTTAACCAAAAAACTTAAGTCTCAGCCTAGGAACACTGAAGGCACAGTTTTAAAATAAAATTTATACTATATTACCTTTATCTTAAAATAAGCACAACATGTTTTGTCACAAGCTATTACAGAATTTGCTGGAGTTTTACAAATTTATGATCTTACATGTTATTAGAATAAATACCTCATTTCCAATAGCTTTGATTTTTTCCAATGCATCAAGGAACCACTTTTCTGCAGTTTTCCAGCTAAGGATTGAAGGGGTGGGGGGAAAGAAAAGTAAATTAGTGAAGAGTTTTCATTAGCAGTATGAGAAAACTGTATTATTCAAGAAAGACTTCTATAACGTTATTTCATCATATGAGTGAAATTAGATAAAAAACCCAGTAATTTACATTTGGCTATATTTTGCATTGTGGTCCTAAGCCCTAAAAAGACAAAACAAAAATCAGAATCAAACTAAAAATATTGACAAAACACTTCTTAAGTAGGTTAGGGGTTTTTCCCCCAGAATATATTTGGAATTCCCTGAGCTGAAAAAAGTTTTGCTGTACAAAATTTTATAGTATGTGTGCAGATAGATGCCTTTTCAGGCAATCAATAAGGCATTCAACTACACAATGACAGGCACATGGAAGATAGCATCAATCTCTGGACGTTCCTTGAGCATTAAATTCTTGTTCAATCTTACACAAGGAAGAACAATGTAGAAAGCAAGGGTTTAAGGTGAACACCATCTAAACTATGACCAAAAGACACTATAGTTCAATATAAATACTTTAGATACTTTATATATATACTGGCACATTATAATTCAGAATAATACATGTTTAAGATAGTATTTGATCATATTGTGCAAGCTTACTCTCCATTTTGAAATGCTACCACTCCAACTTCATGCATAACAAAAGGATCTTCAGGGGCAATGCTTAAAGCTTGGCTGAAGAACCGTTCAGCCAACTTGGAGTTGTTGGTCAAACCATATTCCAGTCCAATATAGAGCATAGGCAAATGACACCTAAAAACCATAAAACAAAATTCATGTTTGTTTCTGTGCGGTTGTCAAGAATGGAGTCACAAACTATAAAGATGTGCCAACTGTTGGCATATGTTTATGCACATCCAAGTAAAAGCTGATTTAAATGGACTACTAACCTAATGGGAAGTTTAAAAGACTTTACATGTCCATTTAACAAGAGACTGAATTCCAATAGCTAATTGTAACCTGCTCTGCAATCAAATGTATTTTCTCAGCACTTAAGTTTAGTTTTGATGTTTTTTTCTCCTAACTTCATTCATACATTTAATTTACAAATAGAATATGGGGGAAGTAATGGATAAAAGAAATACATTTGCCAGTAACCACAATCAAATACAATAGTTTTATATGCTATATGACACAATTAGTTCACGACTCAGCATAGAAGAGCTGTTCAAGCAGTTGATGAGCTGGTATGACAATCATGATTCACAAGTTTCAGAAGATGTTTAGGTGGAACTTTGATTACCAATATATAAAACTTGACTTTAGAACTTGTAAAGTCAGAACATTTGCAAATAATGCAGTTAAATGTAGATGGTTAAATTATTGGGCGTTTTTTCCTCCCTTGTTCACTACCAGATAATTGTTGCAAATGCATTGCTACTGTTCAAAGGCATTGACAGTAGCAAATGCATTGCTACTGTCAATATTCTACACTACTTATGGATTCATTTGAATCTTCCCAAATATGATGTTTATACAGACCCTTTCATGAGCTGTGCAGCTGTGAAGTACGCAGCCATTGCTTGGTCATGCTCACTCTCCACTGCGAATGAATGCCCATATGCTATCCATGCAGGGCCATAGGTTCGCTCCAGTGTGGTAGCTTTGCTAAAACAAGAGCAAACACATCTGAAATTAAATTTCATCTGCTTCAGATGACTACTCAGATAGCAATGCTATGCCATATGGTTAAGTATCTATTAAGATAATTGTAACGACCAGTGGTAAACAAGGTTCATTATAAAAGTTCAAACTATTTCACGCTTAGAAGCATCACACACATTCTTGTGAACTGATTTTATGATTGATTTTATTATTGCTCACAGACAGGAGGAATTATTTGATATTACTGAACATAAACAATTATAAAGTAAGTGAATTGAATAAAATACAGGAAACATTAGAAGTGACTCAAAACTCATTGCAAATTCCTAGCTATACATTTTGAAATAAATACATTACATCAAATTCAAGTTTAAGAAGCTGGAGATGAACACACCAAATGAACACCTAAGTTGAAATTTTGCCATCTAATTGCACTGGCTTTGAAGAAAATGAGCATTTGTTACATCACAGGCCATGCATCACAGAAGTATACAAAAAGTCACTCAAGTCTTGAGCTGGAAACTGCAACCTGAGCATCAAGACATCAACCTGGAGACTTTACAGAAAGGTGGACTTGGCAGGAACATTAGAAAGCTGTGTAGATTATTTTCTGAATTTGAAGGCAAGGGCATTCATAACTAAACAGCTCATAACAAGTGTGCCCAGCTTTTTCTTAAAAGCTTCTTACATGGAGATAATACATGTTCCATAAGAATTCGATCATATTGCTTAACTATCCTTAAAAGCTTATTTTTTTACAAACATATAATCTAAATTTTGTCTGTCACAGTTAAACTCATTATTTCTCATCACAGATCCTAGAGAATGGCTTGTTCCATGTCTTCTGAGACAAAACTTTACATATTCAAACATTTGTATCTTGCCACCCCTGACAGCAATGAAAGATATGTGGATATTTGACTGTGTATTCAAGTTTCTTTTCTGGAAACCGCTGTGTAGCCCACAGTTGTCCCTAGCCTTGTTAGCTTTACACTATCATTCTTCTCCAAGGTATTTAAGCATCTTGTTACTATCTCACTTTTAGCAGACCTCTTTTCCCTTTTGCCACAACTACTCTGAATCTTGATGTTGTTGTTTCTTGGTTTGTTTGTTTTTGTCTTCAACACATCTACAGATACTTTCCTACTGTCTAGAGATGTTTGTACATTTAAAGATGTTTTTTATTTCAGCAACAATATCAGCCAGGCATTTGAAAAGTCTAAATGACTAACCCATCTTTACATATATTGTCTGTAAAAATCTAAGGAAAAATTAGTCTTACAGATTGATTTATGCCTTCTCAGTTTGAGCTTACAGCACCAGAACAAATGCCCTACTTCGCAGCAAGGTCCTGCTCCCCAGTGCTGATATTCACTACACATACAAAAGACCTACAGGAAATAGCACTGACCAAACCTAAAAAGTCCAGAAAGAACTGGACAGCCAAATGTCAGAATTTTCCATATAATTCTTCCCTTTCAGATATGAAACCTGACCTGAGAGAATGCCTGAGTTTCCCTCAATTGAGAACTGAGGCCTGATCACCTACAGCTGTAGTTAGCTCAGCAGCATGAGCGACTGCAGGGACTACACCAGTCCAGAACAGGAAGGTGACTGAGAGACACCACATAAGTCTTCTTCATTTTTAAAGTATCTCTGTGGATGAGGTCTAAACTGCTATACCAAAAAAAGGGTGGCAATGAAAGTAAATAGTAACCAGCTCTTTAAGGCTTCTCTTTATGAGCTTACAAACAATCATGAACAATTAAATGCTTACTTAGCAAGTGAACAACAGATTCACTGAGCAAAACAGAAAAAAAATTACCTGAGATATCTTCTAGCATGTTCATTTTTGTGGCCAACCATGAGATAATAGCATCCTACTGCAAACCATGACACCTACATATTAAAATCAAAATAGAATTTTATAGATACATCACACTCATTGTAGTGAAGCATCAAAAGAGAGGAAGACATAATAATTAGAGAAGCTAGGAACATTTTCACTGAAATGACAATCAGCTCTTCAAATTAGTTGGTATTACAGACAAGCTGGAACTGCTGGCATGTACCTTTCTAACAGGGCTTACTCAGTCTCATGAAGAGAGCTAAGTAGAAAGCTTACTGCTGTCCTCAGTTATTTAATGGCAGGGAATACAAGACAGAGCCAGATTCTTTTCAGGGGTGCAGTAATAGAACGGGAAGCAATGGGTACAAGTCGTAACACAGGAATTTAAGATCAAGTCAAAGAAAAACAATTTTACTGTGAAGCTGGATCAAACACTGAAAAAGGTTGCTCAGAGACATGTAGACATTTATTAGTGCAGCACTTGTTTTAAATTATTAATCAAAGTAAATAACTTGTACTGAATACCTTTTACTTAATCTTATAAAAAGAACCTTGGCATAAGGAAATTACAATGCAGAGAAAATAAAAGGAGTACAAGCTTCATCCAGAAGCAGATTTTGAATTCTGTATCTCAAACTAATACATTAAAACTTAATGTCTTTTCACCTAAAAAAGAAACTATCTGACAACAAAAACTGAGAACAACTTACAGGATTATTTGGGTACAAGTCCACCAGTTTGTGAGAAAGATAGAAAAGTTCTACATAGTGGGAAGAAACAAGAGAAGAAAATTAAAACATGCCAGAACATTTAGATGTTTCAAGTTTTTTAGTTTTCCATACAAAATATACAGAACATCTAACATTAATCCACAAGTGAACAACATGGTTTTTTTTAGAGGTAATGCTTCAAACTGCCTCAAAATAGATTCAATTTTGCAATTAGATAAAGAAAACCCACACAAAATAACCTATAAGTCTTCGTAAGACACAAATAAGCAGCTCTACTTCCCACCCTTTAAGAATTCTGCAACAACTTAGGTCATTACCATATATTAAAATAAATGCCAGTAGCATTACACTTGAATGTACCTTGTCAAGGTTAAACACTATTCAACTTCCTACATCTAAAAGGTATAACATACTGGCTAGATCCATTTCAAAGCAGAGTCCAGTGCATTAATATGCTGAAAATAGGACAAAAGCAAATAAATTATTATATTGTTTGAAATAATTTCAAGCAATTACTTTTTTAGTAAAAATAGTAATTCTAGTTACTGGAATAACTTACTACAGATTTTCTAATCATAGCAGCAGTAATCAGCTACCAGATAATAATTCTATTGCCTATGCAATTTCAAAGAAAATAACATTATGGCACATAAAGTTTCTATATTTCCACAGCATAGTGCTCTTAAACTAATGAGATTGTCCTGGAGCACTTTGTATCTTAGCTCAGAAAAAAAAAAAAGACAACTGGCTTACAGAATATTAACTTCTGTATATAATGCTTCTCAAGGTAGATTTAGAAGAAAAATCAGAGTACTGGCGCCATTTTCAGATGTACTTAACTGTAAAATAACTGCAAAATAACATTCACTAATCTTCAGGAAGTACCAGTACACCTAATGTCCTATTTGTGTACATATAATGCACCATCCCGAGAGACTGCACAGCATGTGAGCTCCTTATTTTATTTTCCAATTGATTTTAAAGATATTCAAGCTACTCACTTGTTTTATATGCATTCTGGAATGAGAAAAAGCCACCCCAGATGCACGTAAGCTATTATTGTAATTCCTATCAAAGTTTTGCATGATTATTAATTTGTTTGAACTAGAGACCTTCACAACAGCAAAGTCAAGGAGAGTCTAGAACCTTTTCTATCACAGAATAATCATGTCCACCTAAGCATACACGATTGCTGAAGATTACTTTCTATTTTAATTTATTTATTTTACTGTTGAGCAGAAAAAGTCCAGCCAGATACTGTACAAATATCACCCAGAAACAGAAATCACAATGACAGGGATGAGGCAGTGTAGCTCACGGTCCTCGTGGCTACACAGTCCAGTGGTTAAAAGATAGCTACATTCCATGACCATGAACTCTTTGCACATCTACTTCCCCCTAACCTGCAATCCAGCTGTCAGCTCTGATATTCCCTTCTTTACCAGTTACTACTGTTTTCTTGAAATGGCAGGTTTCAAAAGGAGGAAAAATAGATGTAATTTTTCCTATGGTATATAAGGGGGTTTCTAGGGGTCTTTAATTCTTTGTTAAAATTGGACTTTACAGACTTCTGTTGAGTTGTATTAGATGCTGTGCTCCTTACCATTTGCTTTGTTAAGCTCCACAAGTGTCCCTATATGTACAGGTAAACAATTTGCATGGAAGGGATCCTTTTCCATCACTCTAAAAAAAAATTAAAAAAAAAACATAATACACATTTCAAAGACTTTAATGTGTTAAAAGCAAACTGCTTGTATAGCATGGAATGTTCCAATTAGTTACTACTTTAGGCATTAGAAAACTATTTGTGATTAAAGGACAACTATTAACAGCATAATAAAGGCTCTCTTCAGACCAGAAATACAACAGTTAATTCAGCTTAACAGAAGAGGGTAACAGAAAATTATTTTTTAAAATTTTATTCTGATTTTCTAATTGAAGCTGAATATTCAATTAGAAAATCAGAATAAAATGCTCTTTTGTTTTGCAGGTCACTTCAAATTTAACCAGCAGACAGCAAGCAACAACATTTCTGTTAATCTTTTCCATACATTTGACAGCAACTTTCAAGTAATAGTCCTCAACTTCCTGAGGTTAACACCAGGCAGTATGCCTGTCACATTTAGCTCAGTTGTAAAAGTTTGTTTCCTGTGGCATTCAGAAACACATCCATGAGTGTAGACCTACCGCAGCTAGGAAGCAAACCATGGCAGCGTTCTGACCCCTCTGACCCCAGCAGCAGCACACACCCATAACAACTGATACACACTACTCGGCCATCAAAATTAGCTTTTAAAGTAGTATCTTTTGATCACTGTCAGTAACATTGTAACTGCTATTGGCCAGAGAAATCAAACTTCCTAACTAGCCAACTCATTCACACCAGTTAATTCTGAAGGCCAAACAAGAAGTAGGTAGAGAGCACACAAAATTGAAGGTACCAGAATAAGGAAGAGGATGGATATGGGGAAGTTCAGCACAGTGGTGATTAAGCAGAGTTTTACCTTGGATACTTCTGATATGTATTATAAAAATACCGTCTTGCCAGACACAAACTACACATTTTAAATACCTGAGACATAGATAACACATGACATGTGTATTGCAATACATATCAAATTGTTATGCATGTTTACCCACTGAACAATATTTTTGTTAGTCCAGGTAAAATTATTACACTCCACCATATGAGAAAAAAACCTGAAAGTTGCTTTGCACACTTACACTGAAGTCAGCTTATAACACATTTTGAAGTCACAGTTGTAATAATGCCTTTCTGCTAAGGATACTACTACATCCAGGTTTTCCTGAAGACCATCTACTGATTCAGGAATCAGTGTTTCACTGGGTTTATTATACTGAAATATAAAAGAAACAACATTTGAAACAAAAACTAAACTAAAATAATGGTATAAGATGGTATAAGTATTAGTATTTTTAGTCCTAAAGAAGTCTTAAGTTCTTAATTTTTTTTTTTTTTAAACTGAAAGTCCATAAAACCTGTATTTGGTAAAATGTTTCTTTAAAATGTACTTAAAAGCTCTTTTAGAACACAAAAGATGCTTGCCATAGTCAATATGTTTAGTGTAGGCTGGAGAAATTAAAATTGAGCAATATATATTTTTAGTGCTCCCTTATCACCTTATCTTTGTATAAGAATAGTCTGGAATTATGTTCTTATAGCCTAATATTTTCAGGTAACAGACTTTTTGTCTACATTATTAACACTCCTTTTCCCCATCTAGAAGTTTCTCAATAAATAAGTTTTCAAAAACATAAATCAGAATTTCAAGTTGTTACCACACCAGAAAACAATTAACAGAAAGCTGTTACGCTATTGCATAAAGTGGGATGTACTGCATCAAAAATTTAAAAAATAAAGAAGTCTATATTTATTTCCACGTTCAGAATAAATGGGACCCATGAAAATTTACACACAAAGTCAAGACTTTCAATTAATTCTCCAGATTTTTGGGACTTACCTTTTTCAATTTATTCTCAAATAAAAAGTGGAGCAATTCCTGTTCTTCTTCCGTACATTGTCTATTAAGAGGTAGAGATTCAAGGAGTTCTTTTTCTATATGAGTTAAAAAACAGTGAAATGGTCATATTACAGAAGAAACTGCATGATCCAACATTTCAAGAACTTAGAGATACAAAGGATTTTATGATGGTCATCCCAACTGCAAAGAGTATAACAGCACAGATACACTGAAACTAATAATATTACTAATTTTGGAAATTAAGGATTGATTAGTCATTTCTTCTACACTTTCAAAATGTAATAAATGAAATAACACACCATTATTTTTATTTACTCCATACGTCAAATGTTATCACTTAGAATGCTCTATTAACTAATGCCTAAGCAAACCCCAGGAGGGTTTCTTTGGTTCAAAGCCTGTGAAATTGAGAACACAGGACAAAACTTTGTTTGGGCTGGGCAGAACAGAAGAGCTTCAGGAGCTAACAAGCAGGACAGCTGGGTTACTGTGTTTCTTTCAACTCTTAGCACTGCAGGACTGAAAAATAAAAGTTCAAGTGCAAATTTGCTCAAATCATAATTTTCACTCGCTTGATATATTTTCTATTCTTAACATTTTGGAATCTGTTACTTGTTGTACTGGCTTAATTTTTATCTAGGAAAACACATATTTGAAAAAGCAGGTAAATTTTACTTGTGTTTGAGAAATACTTCTCTCCAGACCTTCTTGTGCTGTCAGCATATGGTGTGACGTTAACAGATCAAATGCTTCAAAGCAGTAAACATCAAGCTTCAAGGCCTCTTTGTAGCTGTAAGTTGCCAGGGTTCTATTGTCCAAAGCATCATAGATCTTCCCTCGTAAAAGGCATATAGAGCTCTTGATCTGGTGAAAAAGCAAGACTGGAGGTCAAAGACTGAATTACTGTTTGCAATTTAGTTTTCAGCACAAATCAAATTTGCTCACTGGAAAATAGAAAGTATTTCATGTATGATAGTAAAAACAATTCTTTATTTAAAGACAGCACTAGAAAACCAGGTTCTATCTCAAAGAAAAATCCAAAGAATTCTCTGTCAGGTTACCTACTGCCAAAAAAATAGATGCTCAAAATAAAGGAGGACAGAGTTTATCTCTGTCATCCAGCTCTCTGATACTGAGTTATAACCTAATTATACTAAATTCCCTTCATGTCCAACATAGAGAAATTGTCCCTTCCAAAGGCAATATGCTTCTTTGCTGACCATTTAACCCCATATTTCATGCAAGACAAGAATGAACACAGTAGAGATGAAAAAGGCCAAAGCAATGGACTCAGTTGTTCTGAACAGAAAAATATATCCTTGTTTTTTAAGTGAAAACATAAGATATTCCACAAAAGAAAACAGTGAAAACCCAAAATTACCAGTTGTGCCTCAATGTTTATTAATTAACATGCTCTTTCCAAATTCCCTTGACTGGTATTCAGTTCAATTGGAAAGCCACAAATGTGTCAGCAAAAGAGAAAGTGAACACATTACCCAACTCTATCATCACTAAACAGTTCTTTAATCCCATTATACCGGCATTCAAAATCAGTTCACATCAGCAATGTAACCCACTTTGCTACTTCAGTGTTACAGGGAAAATGCTGTCTGTCAATCACCTACACTATTTGCAATTTCAGCAAATAAATTTTAATTTGTACCTCTGAAATGAACAATTCTTCACAGACTCTTCAGCCTACACATCATACCAATCTCTTTAAACTGTATGTCTACACAGAATTTTTTCACTAAGCTTCAAAAATTTCACATTGACCTCACATAATTTTCACAAATGTTATCAAAGAATATACCACTGAGAACACCACTTGAGTGATTATGAAGTATTTAATTAAAAAAAAACAAACAAACTTGCTTTGTTATCTCAGAACCTGCAGCCCAACTGAAAGCAATGTTAGGATACATTACCAAGAAAGAGCTAAAAGACTGTAAAAACCAATACTAGATCATGAAGTTCCTGAAAAGCATCTGCAAATAATTTATAAGAAGTTGTTGAAAAGCACTGGTTATTTTTTGCATACTAAGTTATTTTCATACAGGCAAGCTAACACACAATGTGTGACTGAAAGAAGAACGATTCAGCATTTCCGAAAATTACGTTATCTGAAAAAGAAAGCTTTAATGTACTTTCAGATTCACAGAGCTGTGAAATCACTTTCTGACTTCACAGGTTTTTTTCCTACAAAATATTTTTTTAAAATAATGCGACTTACTGAAGACTGTGACATCTCCCAGTCTGTAGTGGAATCTTTCAATCCACTTTCATCCTTCAAGTACTTTTCAAAAAGTCGTTTGTTGATTGGCTCCTCCATATCAAGAATATCCAAGGCCTGTTGATGCTCTTTTGCAGCATACTAACCAAACATGTGCATGCAAAAAACAAGGTTATGAAAAATGTGTTCATAAAGCACCAATAAGCACAGCACCATGTATTAAAGGCATAGATTATAAGAGGCTTTTCATGCACGCATTTTCTTATTTGGCCATTTGTCATTTTATAATTGCAGTTAGCTCTTTTACTGCTTATCTATAATATGCAAAAATGACAGAATTATAAAAATATGCAAAATTTATAAAATAAAGCATGTGCAGAAAAATATATTATTCAGAATTATGCAATCAGAGAAACAGGTATGACTCTAAAAATAGTTAACACAGGTTTTAATAAAATACCATAATCTTATTCTACAAGCAGCACATTATTCTATTTCAAATTTCTGTATTTAATCTACCAATTGTTTCAGTTGTGTCTCTGAAAGCACTGTATTTTACCTTTTATGTATGACATCTTACAGAATGTGGTCAGATTACAGCCAACCAAATAAAAGTGTAAACATGAAGATATGAGACAAAAATAGTTCACATTCTTTGCCCACAAAATATTAGAGGAGTATTTCCTGGGAAAAATGGTCAGTTGGATTTCTTCCGATTAGTGCCACAATGGATACTCCAGTGACCCAACTGAAAATTAAAGAATGACATTAACTGTCAGAAAATTTAAACCTGTTGTTCCAATGAACATATATATCTACACTGCCTATCAAGTACCAAATCTTCCCAAGATGTGTCTTTTATTTAGCTTGTTTCCAGTAAAGGATTAAAATGTGTACTCACATGACATCTAGCTGCAAGGTAGCGACATGCCTCATACAACTGAAAGAAAAGTTTCATACACATCAATTATACAGAGAACATTTTTGCTTACTCTGCCCGAGTCCCTTTTGCTCTCTCCTTTTTCAGTACTTTGGCTTCTTCACCCCTTTCACACCAAAAGTCCTTCCTGACCAAGCCTGTAACACTTTCTCTACTACTAAATTCTCAAAGGACACTTACTTGACTTTTGTCTTTACCACTCATTATCAGAATGGAAGGAAAATTGAAACTACATCTGAAGTGACAATCCACCTTCCCATACCTGCTGCAGTTACATCCTCAGACCCATTCTCTTTTCTGTGACCTGTCTGGGAACAATGCTTTAAACCTGACCAATTGAACACAAGGCCTTATAAACTAAATAATGCAGCTTTTAAAATTACTTTTCTTACTGTGATGGTGAAGAAATCACTGTGGCTAGCAGCAGAACCTTAAAAGAGGGGTAACAATAGCCTGTCTTTGACTGAAATGACTTACCTTATCCAGTTTCCGTGATCGAAGGGCATGTGCTGCCCTGTGATACTGAGCTGTTAGGTAAAGACATTGAGCCAACCAGTAGATATCCTGTGGTTCCTCTAAAGTAAAAGAACAAATTGTAAACCATTGCTTTACAATATACCTTCAAACATTTTAATACAGAATGTTCACTTTTGCTTCACTAAAGAAGTATCTTTCCCCTACTCTAGCATCTGACTGAGTTACAAAATTTTATTTATAAGTATGTATAAAGTACTTACACTATCTATCAGCGAGAGATTAAAATGAAAAGATAATCTGATTTTAACTTTAAAGACCTCACTGGACAGTGAATACAAAGAATGTCATAATAGAGGTGTGCCATGAGAAAGAGACAATGATACAGATTAAAAAAGCAGCAGTTGCAGGCTACCCTGCTCTTGGACATAGGGCAGAAAAAAACAAGACATAAATGTCTCTCAATAAAATGATCAGTGGGAACCTAACAACAGTGAAAGCACTAGACTTCCCCAGCTTGGAGTTGCTATTTCAGAAGCACAGTTTAGTACCCTCTACCTCACTGGCAATCACAGCCTTTGTGGGCTCAAGTCCCTGGAATCACTTTAAGAAGTGTAAGTGCTGGTGGCTGTGGGCAGCATCAGCTCCCTCTCAGTGTAAGCAGACTCTGTACTTGTCACCCAGGGCAACCCTGAGTCCGGTGGGAAACCACCATGGTCTCTTGCTAATCTTGGTTTTTTTTTTTGGTTTCTTAAGGAAGGCAAACCGTAAGGTTTGTTCAAACATGAATTTTAACACAAAGTTCAAAAGGCAAGGAAGATGAGCTCTGCTCTATTTAGGAGAATGGCATTCCAAAGATCACAAAAATGCACTTAAATCAAACTCAAAACGTTAGCATTTGGCCATACAGCACTAAAACCCCACCAAAACACAATACTATCAGAAAGAAGTTAATAAAATACAATGTAAAAAGCAACCACTTACCATGAGAGAGTGAAGCTACTTTGTCAGCCCAAAACAGGGCACTTTGATATTGCTGCTGTAAAAGCATGATAGAAATAATTAGTATTCCTTTGGGGTTGGCTTTTCTGAATATTTTTGAAATACACTGTTCTGTCCCTCAAAGTGCCAATCTCCCTGTTCCTCCCCTCTTACTCTTCAATGGTTCTATCAATCAAAGGTGCTGCCCACCTCCCCTGTCTGTCCCATTTGGTTCTCAAAAATTCCCTGCCTATTGCCCCTTCCCTAGTATCTCATTGGATTGGCAATCCGTCCCCTGGATTGCCCTCATTGGACTGCCACAGTTGTGTTATCTTCCCCTAATGTCTCCCCACTGGATGTGAGCTGCTTCCACCCCTCATACCCTCCCCTCTTTATAATGTGCTGCCACCCTTACACCTGTCCCTACTTGTCCCTGCCAGCCCCTGTGAGCACTGCCACCCTAGAGGTCTTGGAAGAGATCTGGGGCAGCCACTCCTGTTGTGCCTTCTGGCCATAGGGAGCGTGCTAGCCAGGAGACCTCCACACTGTGGGCGCTACCGGGCAGCGACACCTGCCCCTGGCAGGGGGTTGGAACCAGATCAACCCAAACAACTCTGAGGTTCTCTAAAGACTAAGAAAGCCTTGATGGCTTCTCTCCTCTCCTGCCCCATTGAAGTTGTGGAGTTTGTTCAGACCCTCAGAGACTGGTTTATGCTTTTGGAGTACGGGTCTGGCAGCCTGTTCTGAGATGTACACACTGATGGTATCCCAGTCCTCATAAAGCACTACAATCCATGGCCTCACCGGTCTCTTCTATCATGTGTTCCTGTATTTCCTACTTGATGGGGATTAATTAATAATTAAGAATTGTTTGGTTTCAATCTGGAGTCCCAAGGAGGGAAAAAAATCCACAAAAACCCACAAACCAACCCCACACAAATTTAATAACTGTCTACAAGAAAAGAGATTTAAATTATTACCTCAACACCACAAAAGAAAGGTATAATCCAGGCCTACAAGGCACTGCATGATTTCTGTTGAGAACTTTTACAGTACTATAGGATGACACATTATTACACAAAAAAGCAACTTCGCATTCCTGCTGCTGCTCCTTCCTCAAAAGTGCACAGCTGTCTACACAGCTGTGTGGCAAAACAGCTCGGTGAAACAGTTTAACAAATGAGAACAGCAAACCAAACCAATCAAATTAGCTTGGATCCCTAACAGCCTTTCAGTCAGACTTGCTGGCCACACAGAGAAATGCCTTTGCTAATTTAAGGGCTGTGCTTTTCTTAGTACTGATGCCTGCACCAAGTCTGAACTGGAAGAAGAGCAGAACAGTTTGATGCTACATTTAGCCTAATTTATTTATGCTTTTTTTCCTCTTGTGTCTTTTTTTTTTCTTTTTTGCCCTGCAGCAACATAATTGCTGAATCCATCAACAAATGAAAACAACCCTGCCCTCCTATGAGCTGTCTGCAGCACTGCAGGAGTGTGATGGGCAGCTTAATCACCAGGTAGAGAACCACAGAATGGTCTGGCTCAGAAGAGACCTTAAAAATTGTTTTGTTCTAACCTGCCAGGGGCAGATACACCTTCCACTAGACCAGGCTGCTCAAAGCCTCATCCAACCAGGCCTCGGACACTTCCAAGGATGGGGCATCCACAGCTTCTCTAGGCATCCTGTTTCAAGTTCCACCCTCACAGAAAGGAATTTCTTCCTAATATCTAAATCTAAATCTAATTCGTCTTAGTTTGAATCCATTCCCCCTTGTAAAGATCATAGAATCATTAAGGTTGGAAAAGTCATTCAAGATAATCAAGTCCGACCTTGCCAGAACCCACCATACTCACTAAAACGTATCACCAAGAGCCATGTCCACTTCCAAGAAGGGTGATTCCACCACTGCCTGAGAAGTCGGTTCCAATACCTAATCACCATTTTAGCGAAGAGATTTTTTTTTTTTTCTGATATCCAACCTGAACCTGCCCTTGTGCGACAGAGGCTCTTTCCCCCTGCCTTAGGTAGGTACGGCCCAGCTTGCACAACCCGAGAGGGCGGGATCCTTCGCTGCACGGCGGCCCCACGGCGGCTCCCCTCCTCCTTCTCCACACGAGGGAGAAACCAGGAAAACCCAGCGGGAGGACCCGGCTGCTGCTAGAGACCCACAGGCGGCGCTTCCGGCCCGCCGCTCCCTCCGTGCCCGCCGCTCCTTCCCTTCCAGGGAGAACGCGGCACAATTATAAAATTACTCCTTCTCCGCCGTGCAGAGGCCGGCACCGCTCCCCGCCCCACCCCGGCCTGCCTCTCTGCGGGAGCCACGCCGAGCGAGGTTTTTCCTCGAGGAAAACCCGTGGGCCTCCCGCCCCTTCCCCAGCAGCCCCCGCCGGGCGCTCACCTGGTCGATGTAGTGTCGCACTCGCTTCCTGAGCCGCTCCAGGTTCATCCTCCTTCCCTCCCTGCCTCCCTCCCTGCGTGCCGGAGCCGCCGAGGGACCGCGGCCGCCCGCCGGTGCAGCGCCCAAACCCGCCCCCCGCCTTCGCTCCCGCCCTCCCGGAAACAGCGCCCCGAGCGCGGCGTTCCGGGAGCGCTGAGGCCGCCGGAGGCGTCCCCCCGGCCTCCACACGCCCCTAAATAAACATGTCCTGCGACTTTTCTCTACGGTCCGTACTGGAGAGAGAGAGACATTTATGGTGAGGGGCTTCTTCACAGTTTCGAAGTGCAAGATTGTTCGTGGAATGCGGCCCGAGGGAATGGCCTGAAGCTGAGTCAGCAGAGGTTTAGGTTGGGTATCAGGATATCTTCATGCAGGGGATGATGGCTGGGCACTGAACAGCTCCCCAGGGAAGGGTCTCAGCAGCAAGCCTGACAGAGTTCAAGAAGCTTTTGGACAGCTCTCAGGCACAGGGTGTGTCTCCTGGGGAGGTGCAGGGCCGGGAGCTGGGCTCGATGATCCTCGTGGGTCCCTTCCAGCTCAGCATACTCTGTGGGTCCTGTGATCCTGTGATCTGTGCTTCCTGAACTCTGTGGTTCCACCATAGTCTCTGCCAGGGCTCCTGGAGAGATCTGCTCCCTGAGAGCTGCCTTCGGCTGCCGCATCCGTGTGGTGAAAATGTTCCCTCAGGACTCTCCAGCAATGGTGGATGGTGTATCAGGAGGTTTTCTGTGAGTCCTGCATCTCCCAGGCATTTTTGGTGTCGCACAGATTAGGGAATCATCTGCTAGGACACTGCTGAAACATGTCAGCTTTCACTACTGAAACCCAAGTAATGCAAACCATTAAAACACCTGATTTGAAGTCATTTGGGTGTCGGCCAACATGTCTTAGAGCAAGTATGCATGGGACACGAGGAAGAATCACTTGTGTTTGCTTTGATGGAGAAGGAAGACTTGTGTCAAGGTTACAGTGGGGAGAAGGCCACAAAGGTGGCAGCTGGTCACAAGCAAACAGTCTCTGAGGAAAATGGATCCATGTGTCCTCTCTTGAATTATTTGCAGTAGCTGCACTTTGATGTAGACCTGTTTGATTTCAGTGATTTCCTCCAGTTATTAGTTAGGTCAGCTTTTCACCTCACACTGTGTCAGCGTTTGGGAGCCAGTTCTTCTCTAGTGCCATTGAGTGTGTGTGCTGCAGAAGGCAGATATTTATGCCTGCTGTAAAGCATAAATTTATTCTGTTATTTTTTTAACTCAACTGCACTTGTAGGTCTGCCACTTCTTTGTATTTTGGTAACCAAAATCTTGGGGAAAGCAAAATCCTTGTTCATCTTTCCATTAGATCACATAATGAAGAAACTAATCCATGTGATAGTGGTTTCTTTGGATCAGACAGTTGTATCTAGTGAGGGTTATTATCACATTCAACTTCCTTAAAGACGACTTTTGGGTGTGCAAGTACCTTCCATGGCAGGGTGTAATCAAACTTTTGTACCTACAGTTCTCAGAAACTTGTGGCTTGTAATGAGTACTACCATTCCACTTACTGCATTTGTTGGTTTAAAATTCTCTTTGAAATCAGTATGGAAATAACAGCATATGTATTTATCAGCTTGTTGGTTTGTCTGTGTACAACAAAAGATGTTTAAGTGAGGTTTTGATAACATTTAGAAACTGCTGAGTGGTGGAGCCCATGATTTGTCCTGTGTGGCACATTTCCCTCTTTGACCAGGTGTAATAATAACTCACCAGAGATCAGTGGCTTCTATTCAGTGAGAGACATCAGGGTAGCAAACTGCAGTAATTCAGAGAGAAAAAGATAAATTTAAAAATCATAGAATCATACGATGGTTTGGGTTGGAAAGGACCTCCAAAGATCATCAAGTTCTAACCCCCTGCCAAGGGCAGGGATACATTCCACTAGACCAGGTTGCTCAAAATTGCATCCAACCTGAGCTTGAACGTTTCCAGGAATGGAGCATCCACAGCTTCTCTGGGCAACCTGTTCCAGTGCCTCAACACCCTCATCAGAAAATGTTCCTTCCTTATATCTAGTCCAAACTACCCTCTTTTAGTTTAAATATCTCAGTTGAAAACTGAATTTGAAACCTCATGAAATGCAGAACAAAAAAATAAAATAAAATATGAAAATTAGGAGTTGGTGCTAATGACTAAGATAGAAATCTTGTCTGGGGAAGAAAAAAAAGATGCACAGGAAGTGTGGGGGTTGGAAGAGAAGAAAATGCTCTTGTTGGGGATGGGTGACAGTTAAGAGCAGCCGTGGTCACTGGGAGCTGCTCTGAAGCACAGAGAGGACCTGTCATCTGTAGGATCTTGGAGTGGTCCAGGGAATGCTCTATAAACTTGAGGAAACAGGTACAGAAAGGCACATAGAGAATGTTGTTTCTCCTTTAGCATCTATCTAGTTCTTACATTGTCAAAGCAGAGTACATAATCTCATGTGTTATGTGCTGCTTTTTTGTATTTCCCTGAAAATTTAGCTCACCTGAGTGAGCTATTTCTGGGACTAGAGCTCAGAGGAATGGTTGGTTAAGCTATGCTGGGGGGCTACAGCAGTGTGGCTGCTTGGGTGGGCTCCAGTCCTGTTTTCTTCAACAGGAAGTGGTCTGACATCAGCTCTCATGAAGTAGCTGGTCATTCAAAGACAGCAACCTTATGGACAGACTCCATCATCTTGCTCCTTCCCTGGGAGTTATGTAAGTGTGCAAGCAAATAGATGGGGCTGCTGTTCACAACATGTTCACATCACGTTGTGAACAGCAAGATTTTTGTGAAGTGGTGGTTGAGGCTTAAAAATTATTTTAGGTGTGAACAGGTGAAATTTTGGATGTTATGTAGTTTTCAAATAATATGTAAGTTTCTCTTTCAGATTCAAAACCAGTAGAGAGCAAAACTACTGTAATGGTTAAGTGGTGTTGATATACCTAATGCTTTGCTTAATAATACTTTTAAAAGTGGTGAGGGTATGCAGAGTCAGTTAAAACAAATTGATTTGAACTTATATATCTTAAATTGTGACAGGAAGTTTAAGGCTCCACAGTCATAGTAAGACTTCTGTACTTTGTGGAAGTTCCTATATTTTTATCTGCTTTTAGATAATTTTTTTTTCTTCTGTTCTAAAAATACCTGTAGACATGATATGTGCTGGTACTATCACATAGCTTCTTCCTGCTGCTTTTAAATTACTGTTTCCAAGTCAGTTTGGTGCTTGCACATTTCATAGAATCACAGAACTATTCAGGTTGGAGAGGACTTTTATGATCATCTAGTTCCAACCTCCCTGCCATAGGCAGGGTCACCTTCCACCAGACCAGATAAACTTGATCAAGTAAAAGTGACCGTGTTAGCTTTCAGTCTGTACATGAAAAAAATCTTCTTTGATATTGGAAAGTGTCCTTGTTTCTGGCTTGGGTACTGTAACTGAAGTGAGGCCTCTGAAATGGAGATCTGTATTGAGCTGGGAGAAGTTCTCTCTGAAATAGCCAAGGAGTGGGTGTCAGTCTTTCTGGGAAGGTTTTAGAGGCAGCCCCTAACTCAGATATTTTGTTCAGGTAAGTGGAAAAAGTGAGTGACATTCTACTGCCCTCATTCTGAAGTTTTTCTTCTTCATCCCAGCAACCCCAAACCCATGTGTGCTCCTGTTTCCAATGTTGTGTATAAGAACTGCAGCCCTGCCAAGGGGCAGCCCTTGGCAATCCCCACTTTACAGAGGCAGAATATCTGAATTGCTCCTTTGGGGTATGGCTCTCCCTCAGCTGCCTGCAGCATGGCTAAACTTGGAAAAAGGTATTTTGATTTTAGTGGGTCTAAAAAATGTGATTTTGGAAATGGACTGAACTTGATAAACTGAGAACACCCGTGGCATGCATGGAAGGAGAGGAGGATGGAAAGGAAAGCTGTTGGCTTTGTCTTGTCTCCTGCCAGCGTTCTTTAATTATCTTACAGAATTCTTGCCTTTTCATACAGAAATTGTGTCATCTCTTCTAAACTTATTAGCATGATACTTCTGTACCTGAATTTCTGTTATTTGATTGCTCATGATGAACTGCATGAGCTGTCATAAATGCAATCTGCAATTAAAGTGAGGCCTTTATTTAAATTTCCTCCTTCTTATTTTAGCTTGCTTTACACAACTGCTGTAAATCAGACCTGCCTTCCAAACATTTTTCATCCCTTTAGTCACTATCAAGCAAGTTTGAGAAGTCTCCAAAAGCAAAGCTAGTTTCTGAAAGTTTTTGGAAGTCAGTGTCAAGATTAGAGAGACATGGACAGACTAGTGCCCCTTTTCCCTCAAGGAGGGCTACAGCTCCAGTTAAGGAGTTACCTGCTCCATTTGGCCTGCCAGCAGCCCAGTGAGGATGTGTATGGCTCAGGATCACAATTGGAGATTGTGCCAGAAGGCTTCAAGGATGTGGGAGGACAGGAACTAGAGTTACTATGGAGAAAGAGAAGCTGGGGCTTGGCAAAAAAATTGGGAGCCACATGATTTCATCAATTAAAAAAACAGCCTTTGTGGGTTTGCTGCTCCTAAAACATTGTTTGTCCTGCAGTTATTCACATGATGCAACCCTATTGCTGTAAAGCAAAGAATCTTGGTATTTGCTCTCTGCAGCAGGTTTACTCATTGCAGTGGTGATGAGTGAATCTCATTGATTGTATCAAAACAACCAAGATACATTTGGCTTTGTTTTTTCCAAGAGATAAATTTTGGAAGAGTGGCCTCTTTCATGCTGATTTCTCTCCTTCATGCAGTACTACTCCATTTTAGCTTACAGAAGTGCCTAGTATGAGTTTGAGGGTGCTTCATCTTTCTTGCTCAGGAGTCAAAAAAAGAGAAATCTGTTTTAAGGAAATGAAGATAGCACAATCTTCTTTTGCTTCATTATGTTGATCACAATAAAATGTAACACCTTTAAGATAAATTTTAACACAGGGAAATAAATATTTGCATCATAAAAAGTGACTTTTATTGCAAAGCCATGTCAACTGACTACAGTTAGGCTCCTCTATGTATGTTTAAAGAAATTGTATGTGTTGAAGTAAGGCTTAGCTCTGAGTTCCTGCCTCATTAAGTTTTTCT